TTCAAGTTTAAATTTGTTATTGGTGGGTGAAGCTTTGGCTATCTGTGTTATGATCTGTAGGGTATATGAGAGGAGAGTTGATAGAGCTATTGTTGTAGTGTGTGTCAATATAGGAGGAAAGTAAGTGCCACTCTAGGCTGCTGATGAGATGTAGATAAAGTGATACATATTTTGTGATAGGACAGTTTCTTTCTTTTGTTGAGAGTGATGTAAAGTGGAATACATATTGTGGTTTTGAGGTCACTCCTGAGGAACATGTACGCTGTAGTAATAGATACAACCAATAAAGTCAGTAACTCTGTAGTCATTCTGGATCCAACTCAATCCAAATGCTTACCTCAGTTTAAGGACTTGAGAAATGTCACCTTATAAATTAAGTATTCATTTTCATTTAGCATTGAATATTTTACCTTTAAATTTTACCAGAAAAACAGTGTCATGTTGTGAATTTCCAACATGAGATGTGGACAAGTTACATTTTGCAATCTACTCTCTCATCCCAGCTGGTGAACAACACTACATTTAAGGACTTGTCTATGAGGTCAGCTGATTGGGATTACAATGACTGCATCATACAGGGATGTCATGTTTTTGTCTTTGTTGTGGTTGGGACAGAAGGACACTTACATGTGCGGAAATGAGCTATGTCGCTGTGATCTTGTTAGGGGGAGATAACCACATCTTAAAAGGATGTGTCATCTTGACCTCATGCGACCTTGTGGTAATGATTAGCAAGTTTGAATCGGAGATATCTGTGTTTCACATTGGATAACTAGACTAGGACAGTACACTATGGTCTATTATATAACTATAATTGTCCGGACAACTTCCTCTGGATTTAATTAGGAAAAATATGCATCCTGTACTCTGTTTGCTTTTTATGCATCACATATACATGATGAACTTTGTGAATGATATATTTAGTCTATAAGTGTAAAACTTTATAAGAATATAGGTCAAGGAATCTAGTGGCCATAGATTTGACTCAGTTTCCAAAAATATGATGTAACTGTGGTATATATGATGCCTTCCTAGAGCTTTAATTTAGTAGGAATATATCCTAGTATATTGGTACCCATTTTGTACAGCTATGTCGTCCAGAAAAAGGCTGACTAAATGGTCACAACTTCCGAGTTAAAGAGTAGCTATTTTTCAAGAATAGGACCTTTTATGGAATGCTGTCCAAATGTAACTATTGTGTCCCGATCCTTAGCTCTTGTACAGCAGTTCGATTGATCTGAATATTTACAATATTCATACGTAATTATAAATACAGTCACTTGATAGTTAGATATCAAATTGACCTCCACAAAAGTCTCAATTATTGTTTACAAGTTGTAATTAGATACAGTAAAAACAGATGTAGATATGAAGAGCTTGCATTCGCTATGAACTCAATGGAAAATGCCCAGGTAAAATTGTGTTGATAAAAAAATAAAGTTTATAACAAACCAAAAAATGAGATGTATTTTTACAGCTCTTTTTAGGACTAGGTAAGTTGGAGTCCATTAAGACCTGAGTGATTCCTTTGAAGTGTAACCGAGGCACCTTCCATGTTAATGTGGTACACCCTCCTGTTTGTTTGTAGTATCAAGTGTTAAAACAGACACCAGATTTGTCAGGCCAACAAGCTTACTAGATTGGCCTGTGTGATAATCTTGACAGCTATAGGTAACCAGATGAATGGCGGCTGTCCAGGAGCTGAGAAAGACATGTTCACATTTATGTAATTTTTTAAAACCTCAATTTTGTATTGTTTTTAAAAAAACAAAGCTTTGTTTCATATAAACAGTAATGATACTTTAGCGACACTTTATAGGGTGTTCTTCGAAACTTCTGGCTTGGTGTGTTTAACGGATTTGTTTCCCTTTAAAACCCAAACGCTAATTGTCTCAATTGCCTGAGACACAGAATGTTGTTCATTCATGCTCAAATTTCTGTCTTGTTGAATTTAATTACGAAAAGTTATAAAAAAAATAGCAATTTCTTTTGAATGAATCCGGTTTGCCCCAAAACAATATTTTTAAGAAAAACATTTGTGGTACGATATTTAGCAATGTACAACATAGAGTTTTTCCTGGTATTGGACAGGTGGAACAATTACACTGTGAAATGCTTGCCCGTGCAGTTGCCATGAAATCAAGACCATGAGTGCTGCCAAGCTTTCCAGCAATTGGTTAAGTGATACATGTATTGAGGAATCAAACAATAGCTACAGCAATGTAAAAATTCAATCTGAAATTCATTATGGCCATGAGGAAATGTCTTTTATTTTAGGAATGACTGAGTGATGCTCTTTTGTGTTAAGACTAATAATAATGAAGAAGCCGACCGTTTAAAACTTTGATGTATTGCATTAAAATTTTCTTATTGTTTTCTAAATTGTTCTTAACCATAAAAACTATTTTCTTGTCTCTTGCAATAAAACTTTTTTGTCAGCTGTTGTTTGTTGTTTAACAATAGCTTAGAGGCTCATTAGCTCAAGGTAATGTCCTTGAAATAGTCCTAGATCTGATTTATGACACCTGTTAAATGTTGATATTTTATGCCATTGGGTTTTATATCAAATCTTACCTATGATCTAAGGCAAGAAGAACTTCTTCAACAATTTTGAAACGAGACAAAGTTTCCACTGATCGGTTTTCATCAGGTTTTTTATGGCAAGTGTGTAGCCTACATTTTTATACAAGGACGGCTATGAAGATATAACCTCTTTCTATTTGCGCTCAAGTGTATGTCATTAAAATGTAGTCTCTGCACCGACAGTTTTTTAGTAGCTGGATTATAATCCATTGTTAAATGTTGAATTGCTTTAGTGAAAGCCCGAGGTTGATGACATGGGTGATGCTAAAAGCATAGTTAACTTTAATATAACTTCATATAAACATAAAATTTGGTAAATAATAACTTTGTTTTATGCTTTATAAAGGAATTTTTCCATATTAAAGAGGTCGATATCCTTTATGATATATAACATATATTATATATTGAAATATTTTTTTTTTTCCTTAATAGATATTAAAATTGATGAAGCTTTAGTATGTGGAGACTAAGCTGAGAATGTTATTTACAGTAGGTCTGTGCTGAATTTGTTTGAGGAGTTGTACCTGTAATGATTGGATTTAAACATCCATTCACTTTGTCACGTTTGCATTTGTGTAATTCAGAGCGAAATTTTTTGGCTTCCTGTTTACTTTCCGTGGTGAAATTTCATTCTAGTCACAGTTGTTAGTTGTGGTTCTTTACAAGCTGTTCAAACATGATTTTTATGCTAACTACTTAATCTTTCCAGTTTCATTCGATATAAAATTGAAACTTAGTGAGTTTACATTGGTGTTAAAGTTCTGTGTGTGAACTATTAAAACATTTGTAGAAGCCAGTATCATATTCTACAGGTTAGAAAGTTTGTCTCATTAATATTTTGCACTAATCACAGAAAAGGAACTTTCATCACCTGTGGTGCTTGAATCAGGATTGGGATGGATTGAACTTGCCTGTTGTGGGTTGTCTGGCATGTCCAGGTTGTCTGTACTATAGCCTGCTCACCCCAGGCCAAGCACATGTACAGACTATTGGTATTGAAAGCCAGCCCAGTCTCCAGACCAAGCAAATGTCTCTGTTTAACCTCCCCCATAGATACATGTTCTCTGTACTGCAGCCAGCCAACACCAGGCCAAGCAAGTGTCTACTGGTCCCTCTCCCAGGCCAAATAAACTTGTTTTATTCATCCAGTGATATACAAAAGTTCTGGATGGTTTCCTATTAGTAATTTATACTTGGAAAATTTCATATAAGAACAAAATAACAGAATGGTGTTTAGGATTTTACTTCAGGCACATAAAACACAAACAAATGCTATTAAAAGAAATACACAAAAAGGATTTTAGCTTATCATCTGTAGTTGCTTAATTTTGATTGTGCATGGTTTTTAACAGGGATCTTTTTCATGTGGTTAGTGTTAGAATAAAAAAACAACTATTTTTGTTTGGCGCACCTGTGTAGCAGTAGATTTGTCATGATTTTCTCACCTATACCAATGTTGCTCCCTCACCTGGCCAGGTAAATTTATAGCAAGGTGAGGATCTAATTTGTTGGAGGTAAATTATTCACTGTGCTTCTGACTTGGCATGCCCAAATGAATTACAACATTAGCCATGCTTGATATGTACTGGCTGACTGTAGATCTAGACAACCACACTTCCTATGGACGATTAATATGATTAGATTTTGGCTATTTGTCTATAGATTCGGGTAGGCTTTCTCATAGATCATTATATTTTTCAATATTTCACAGTACACAAATTGTGTATTCTGCTCCTTCATTTAGCTAGGTAGATATGAATTACAATATACAAATGTCTTCATTTGTTCTGTTGAATAGTTGAACCACTTGTTAATTGTTTGTCACAGGTTGAGGCAATTTTAATATCTGTATCAATTTGTTTAAGATCTAACTGTTGTACTATTAAAACTTAGATTCAAGAAATCTTGAAAACAATCTTGAAAAACACAGCCTTTGATTTCGTTAAGATTCATTGTTACAAAAATACAATGAGAACAGTTATTTTGAATACATGGACAAGTTTTGCAACTAACTAAGAACTTATGTATTGCTTGATCCTATGGAGTCAAAAGTATCCAAAAGGGAAATAATTTCACAAATCTTCAAAAAATCTGTTAATCTCTATGCTTGTCAAAGGTTTTATTTGAAGTTCTTTCTTAATAATTTGTCAAAATATGAAGAGATTAAAGTTAACCTGAGCCTGAAAACATATCCGGTTAGGAAACCTCCACAAATAGAAACCCAGTGCATTCATTCATATTTCGCATTTGCCTACTTTTTTTTATCATAAGCTGAATAAAATTAGCTTTATCTTTTGGGTCAAACTGAACATGGCCTTTATTATTATTATTATTTTAAAAAAAAGGTCCCTTTGACCTCTTAACTTATTTTCATTCTTGATGAGTAGCACTGATGCCTGTATTGTTGTGTGTTTCAGCTGATGGAATACCGTGAAGCCCCGTCCAGTCCTGGGGCCTCCAGTGTCCACTCCCTCAACATGGACAACATGGACCCCACAACACCGGACTCGCCCCCTCCCATTCCTCCTCAGGACATGGATGATGAGCGTCTTCCTAACGAACTACTTGATGAGATATGTGAGGATATAGGAATGAAGGAAGGCATGGAGTTGGACTTTGTGGAGTTTCTCATGGAACAGGACATGGTGGACCCACAGGTGTATATGACACCGGAGGCCATCCGTAACACGCTGGCCTCCACAGCATGTACATCCGTGTCACAATCAGGCGTTCTGTCCACGCCAAAGACTGAGGTTGTGAATAACCGTACATGTGGAAGTCCAAACACCACATATTCTCAAGCGTCAACCACAAACTGTACAGTGGCGACCTCCAGTGGGTCAAGTAGCCCTGCTGCTAAACGTTTTCATGCATCAACATCAGGACCAACAAGTCCAGTGAGGGTTAATGCCCCATTAATGCCATCAGAAATGTTCAAGGCACCGCAGACACCCCCTACTCCAAGGAGGCCGTCCTCGCAGAGCATCGCATCACCCAGCATTTCTAGCACCCAGGGACCCCAACATTCACCCCTTCCCCCACGCAGTGTGTCCCCTCAGACTACACAGAATTCAGTACCATCCTCACCTTCACAGAAACAACCTCCCTCCTACAGTCAGAGCATGTCACAAAACAGCATGTACACCCAGTCAGTTCCAGAAAGGATGTCCCAGAAGGGAGGCATTCCTCCTGGCCTACAAAGGCAGGGTGTGGTCCCCCATAACTACCAACGTCTTGGCCGCCCCGCTCCTCCAAATGTCAATGTCCAAAACATGCAGTCACCACATACTACGTTTCAACAGCAGAAGTGGAATATGTGCGACTCTTCTGCGGGTCAAATGAACAACCCTGCATGTTCTATGGGTAACATGGGACGGCCAGGATTCCCACCACAAACACAACAGTATGGCCGAACTCTTGAGTCTCCGCTTGATCAGGGATACTTCTCTGGGGACACGGCTAGTGTCCGTAGTTATGGTTCGTCTTCTGTATCATCGACAGTGCCATCGTCAGTGCCGCCCTCTGCAACTGGTGACATGCAAAATTCTATGCACCTACGACAGGGTCCCCCGAATCAGGGTTCTGGCTTGGGCCAGAAAAGTGTTCATTTTGCAGATCTACCCGGTGATCAAAATGTGCCTCCACTGCAACGACAGCGCTCAAATGATAGTATGGGCTATGGTCAAGGGTTCGATCCAAGTGTTTCTTCAGACTGTGATGTAGAAAATGAATTTAGGGACCCCAACCACAGGGGAGCCATGAACTCTAATAAGATAATGCCGCGTCTAACGCCAAGCATGAAATCTGAAATTGCACCATATACAGTGCCTAATGTGAATGGACAAGTGGCTATGAGTCCATACAGATACGATGGTCGCAGTAACAGCCGTCCCAGCAGTGGGGATAATCCTATGGCACCTATGCAACAGTTTGATTTCCCTCCTCAGCACAAGACGGGTGATATGTGTGGAGTGGACAATAACCAAAACTCCATGCATCTTAACAATTTCAATAATTCTGTGAATAATAATATGAGTAATTCTTTGAGTAATAATATGAGTAATTCTTTGAGTAATAATATGAACAATTCTATGCAACAACCAACTGGTGAGACAGACTATCGTGTATCATGTTCTGGAGGTGCGCCCATTGGGATGCAGCCTCTTTCTCACTTTGATGGAAGTCAGGGCCAGTATGGTATGCAACAGCAGGCAAACCTTCAAGGGAGGGGTCAGATGTATCCGAATTCTATACAGGAAACAGATCATTACAAACTTACTGCCAATATGACAAATCCTAACATGGAAAATTACTGTGATAATGGGTTCAGAAATTCACAAGGACAGAACATGAACTCTAGTTGTGGCATGATGAATCGGGGTACGCCTAAAATGATGGGCGGGCCCCAGGTTAGCTCCAATCAAGGGACACCTCTAGGAATGATGGGCGGGCCCCAGGTTAGCGCCAATCAAGGGACACCTCAAGGAATGATGCGCGGGCCCCAAGTTAGCTCCAATCAAGGGACACCGCAAGGAATGATTGGTCAACAGCAAGGACAATCTGGTTTCCGGCAAAATTTCATGTCAGGGGTACCGTGTGGCAACAGTGCTCCTCGACCTTTACACATGAATGCCATGACCTCTAGTGCGCAGATGATGCCACCAAATCAAGGTGGCATCCCACCAGAATACAGCCGGTTACAGGGTGTCCCTGAAACTATGAACAATAGCCCCATGTACCAGAACTCTCAGCCTCAGTTTAGTCAGGCAAACATGGGACCTGGCACAGGAAACAACCCAGCGTGGGCAGGTGCCACGCCACAAACCCCCCAGCCTCATATGGGTGTCCATCCAAAGGTTCCTCAGCAACAACAACAGCAACACCCAGGCATGGGAAGCATACCAATTCCTGGCACTCCCGGAGGCCAAAATCCCATGCAAGGTGGTGCCATGCCCCAGTGTACAACACCAAACTGTCAGAGTTGTAAGACTGGCTCCCCCCATCGCCCACCCATGCTAGCCTCACAACAGACATTCATTCAACATCTCATCACAGACAGATCTAATGCGTTCAGGTCTCATCCCCTGTTCCCATTACTCCGAGATCTCATCATTGCAGACATGAATTTCAATTCCCCTTCTTTTCCATACCAACTCATTAGTAATCTGCCTGCAGAATTTGACAAATTGTTACAAAACTTTCTTCATCGTAATCCTCCGTCCGGAAATTATCAAACCAACTTTTCTGTGGAAAGTGTTGTCATGGATGCTTTGAAATATGCTCATACGTGCCTTATAGGTAAGTTAAACCAATGGAAATTAGGGGAAATAACTTCAGATAAAGGGAGGCAATTTAAATTACTAAAATAAGAACTGTATATTCCATCTTTATATACAAAATCGTTTTACATTGAAATGGATGTATGCTTTATGTTAAAGATAATGAAGAAAATGGATGATATTTGAAAAGGGAAAGTTTTGGACAATGTTTAGGAGTGACAAGCTGAAATTTTGCTAGGAAATACCGTCAGAAATCCCAAATTTTCCAAAAAAGGGTTTCTTTCAATTATAAACCTTCCATTATTTTTGTATAAATTTTCATTAAACTTTTTTTAAATGCACAAGAAAATATTCAATAAAACATTTGAAGGGAAAGGTTTCCTTGTCAATAGGGTAGAAATTGATTGCTATATTGTTATATAAAATCCCCTGAATTGTTCAGGTGCAAAGTTTTGTTCAACAACCATTGCTTGCTCTTCAAATACTGCTGTGTGGCTCAATACCCAGACAAAACCCATCTATAGTTATACTTTATGTTTAGGTATATTGATAATAGACACTTATTGAGCGGTAAATTGTTTACATTGTTGCAGAACTGTTTTTCACACTTTTGCCTTGCAGACATGATTACTTGTTCTGAACTGCTCATGATTTACCTTTGTTGATTTGATAAAGTAGACATTGATTTTTTTAAATTGTTTCTTTTCGAACAACCAAACTGTGCCATTGATTTGTACTTATCACCAGACATGATAAGGCTAAAGGACTCAGAACAAAAGTTCACCTGCAGAAGTGGGAAGGAGCATTGATTTTCTTAGAATTTCTGAAAATGGAGGAGGATAAATTCTCAGATGTTGAGGCCAAATGCATTTTTATATTTGATTCATATCCTAAGTAAATACTGTATAAAGTTGAGAAATATTCTGAATGAATTCACTTACAGTCAGGTTTGGTAATGCTAAATCACATATCAGATATTACCCCATCATTGATTATTTTTTATTTATTTTTTTCAATTATGAGTTTCGATAGTTCTTATGTTTTCTGTATTATTCACACAAAAAATCAATTTGAAAAATGGAAAAACATGTATAATTGTGGAATGGATGCAATATTTTATCATATTGTCTGATTGATTGATGTGATTAATCTCATTTCCAGAAAAAATCCGAAGTCGCCAAGAACAAGATAAGCACACGAAAAGTACGTCCAAATCCTTGAGTGCTATTGAGGAGTTTTGTGAGAAGTTCGACCGGTCTGTACGCAATACCATCATCAAGGTAAGCATACTGCTGTATATGTCCTTCATTTGTGGTCTCTGTAAACCACTTGTTATTTTATTTATATACTTACCACTGAACAACAATCTTTCTCTGGGTCACAAAATTCCAGACCCTTGATCACCCTTTTCTGGTGTCTGCTGACCAGGCCCCTTCTTACCCTATTCTGGACCCTTCCTTACCTTTTTCCAGGCCCTTTCTGATACTATTACAGTTCCTTGTGCAACTGGTTTTGGGCTCCTGCTTACCAAGTACAGGCCTTGTGTTTTTGTGTGCTATGTCTTTTTCAAAATATAAATGAAGGTAATGCAAAATTGAAAAATAGCATTTGGGATATATATGATGAGCTCCATAAGTTTATATGTAGGAAGAGTGCACACTAATCCCATGAAAAGGATGATTATGACTCATCAGTATTTCACATGATGTGTAATTCCATTAAAAATGGATAGATGTTGTGGATCAAATTTTGAATTTATTAGAATCCTTATTACTTAAATATAAAATACACTTAAGCAATTTAAATTAATATATTGATGTCGTAATTTACGGAACTGTACCATAGGAGATGTTGAATGGCTAAGTTGACAAGTGAGGTAATGTATAAAGAGAAAAAGTATGACCACCAATAAGCATTAATGTTGCCGCCTTGGGGAACACACATGGCGTTCATGTTCCGACAAAATGAGATGGGCAGAAAAAAAGTCACATTGATTTGTAGGTACAAATATAGATAAGCCATTGGGGACATTTTCTGACAATATCATGATTATCATTGATGGCACTAGATGAGAAGTGTTACATGGAACCCAGCACATCAAACCAATGGAAATTATTTGTCATACTTTACAAATTATAAAAGTAATGGTAATGTAGAAACAAACACTTGAATAGAAAAGGCTTCAGTATTCTTTTTTAAACATGATGAAAGTTGGATATTTTATATAAAATATAATTACGTGTTTTCTTGAATCTCCTGTTGATTCTTGAAATCATTATAGATAGATATCCATAACGGTAATAAAATCAAAAATGGCCACCATCAGTCACTTCTGATTGACTGAGACATAGGCTTTACATTTTGTTTTATTGGTACAGTTTTGTCTGCACTTGGTGGTAGTTTGAAGTTATTAAATAGTCTGAATTATGAATGATCTCATAATCCAAGATGGCCACCGTGGCTTTTGATAGGTTGATACCTTTTGGGCTAGAATTTCTGTTCTGTTGGTCTGATTTTAGTTATAATTGGTGTTAAATGGTATTTGTATGATTGCATACAAGTGTAATGCCTTATAGCCTGTATTCTGTAACCAGAGGTAGTCTGTGTAGTTTGTACTTTGCAGTTATTTGGGAGGTTGGGTTGATTTTGATGCGTTTATATCGCATTTTTAATACTTTCTTTTCCATTATTTATATACTTGTCATCATTGTGCTTTAAGCATTGCTACTAATATTCGTACACACATGATTAAACCTTGGCTATGTGCCTGGAAATGGTCAATTTCATTTCTTTGAAGAACTTTGCGAACATTTATCAGCTACCATTCAATATTTGTTTTTGAGAATAGCATGTCTAAATCAATTATTTTTCATAGGATTCAAGGTAAAGCATTTTGAAGTAAAACAGATTAATAATTGCAAAAAATAAAGAAGTTTATTCCATTACAAGATAAAGATTGTTCTGACCATAATCTTAAATTTCTCCACTATAGGCTTATTTTTTTCTATTGAAATGAGGCTTAAAAAGCTTGGTATCAGTTAGCCAGTTGTAGGGGTAGTGTGTGCAGGCGACATTGCGTGATTATATCTTGTGGGATTTGGGGCGGGACATGTTGTACACTTCATTAACCCCGAATACCAGACCTGTCAATCATAGGTTTGCAGGGTGGCAAGTTTATGTAAGTGGAATCTCCGAAAATGAGAAGCCATGATCGTGACCCCTCTGTGTGGTCTAGGAAGTTGTCAGCAGCAGTTGTCCTTAGATTTCTAACTCCTTTTCAGTGCATCACTATAGGGATATAATTACCATGCCAGCATCTGATACTAATAAAGTATTAATGGGTTAAAAAACTGGTACACATGATAGTTGTTTTCTTCTACCTGTGGTATTACATTGCTTTCTGCAGTCTGTTCGTTGTTGATACACATGCTGTTTAGCTATATGAGTTGCCATGAGTGGTCAAAACAAGTTTTAAATTTGATTATTCATAAGTAGAAAATCGCTATCAATAATGTTATTGTTCTTTTTTGTGTGTGTGTTTTTACCCATATGATGGCATATCAAAACTGAAAACAAAATTTTTAAGGTTCTGCATGGTAAAATTAATATTCAAACTACATTCTCAAATAGAGACAGGTACAGGGCCACATTCTTATCAGAGACGGCCAATGTTCTTTTCAACACATTCTGACACGAGTTCCCCCTTGGATGTGAAGTTCTGACACAGGGACCTGTCCTCTGGTGTGTTGAACGAGAAGACAGTACTTGTGGAATATTTGGAGCTGGGGATAAATGATTAAAACCTCCTCAATAAACATGGTGGGCAGGTACTCCTCCCCTTGTACCAGCCAGTATTGTTCCTGGTTGAGCTGGTCATTCACTGACCATTGTTTCCAGACAGGACAAGCGCCCCTCCCTGGGAATGTGAGGAATTTGATAACCAGATCTAGCTGTGTTATTGTGGCTGAGATTTGTCAGGTGGACAATAAGTATAAGGAGTTGACTTGGTGTATCGTGTCACTGTGTAGGATCCAGGTGTCCTTCACAAATCTGGCAACGAGCTTTAGTTATACCAGTCGTTGAATACAGGGGCTGGGGGAAACCAACATGTATGGTACATGTCCTAGAATCTAAAGGGTGGGGAGAGGGGTTGAACAACATCTTCTAACCCAGGTGGTGTACTGTTGAACCCAAGATGGGGAGTGGGGATGAGGAGAAACATGAAACCATTCAGGTGGTATGTAGATGAATATAGGAAGGGAAAGTGGGTATAAAGTGTCTCAATTGGGATGCCTGTATGTTGTGGAATCTAAGGGTATGGCTAAGAGATGGACCAGACAACAAGACAACATGTATTAACAGTTGTATAACTGCTGAATGGAAGGGAAAGTGTGTGTTGTACATTCAGCTACCAAGCAAACAGTAGGGGGGGGGGGTTAAACATTTTTTGTTATTTTCAAATTAAAATGGGATATACTTTTCCCCCCATTGTTGTACTTATTTATTTTTGGAAACATAATAGACATTTCATAATAAGGAAATTAACTAAACTATTCCTTCATGTAACTTAAGAGCCAATTTGGAGAAAATGAAAGTAAGCCACTGTGAAAGGTTGCGAGGGAAAAGTGACCTGGAGTAGAAAGTTTGTCGGGTATGTGAGTCAGCGATGGTGAGAAACCCAGTGGGGTGGGAGGTGTTTACATTGAGAGCATTATGTGGACGAGGTAGATTAATTTAGTTAACAACAGTAGCTTAGTTTGTCCATGTGGGCCCCAGGTGTAATCAGGAACAACTGTACTAAAGTCGAGGTCAGGACTTCAGGAGACTTCCATACAGAAAACTCTCAACACATTTCTAGATGGACAAATCTGCAATGTTGTAGGATTACCTGCCAAGTTTTTGTTGCTGAATTACCTGCAAACTCTGAAATTTTGTTGCAGTGCAGAGGACAAAGACAAGCGAAATTGAATGCTATATACACATGATAGTTAACATATTTTAAAGGGGGCCATGTCATAAGAGTATATAATGGGTACTAGGTTTATACAAGAAAAGTTTGCTTATGAATATGGACATCATCTGCAAATTCGGTTTCTATTAATTCCAAGCATGGGTAATCAGGTAAAACAATATTTATCCAGTTAAATTATGATTTTATGAAAACTAAATCCATCAAAGTTGTCCGAACTTTTGTAAACACACCAGACAATGTTTTAGTGTAGGCCCTTTGGCGAGATACCTTTACCCACCTAGGGTCCTCTCACCTGTAATTAGACCTGACATAGAGGCGCACCTGGGTCACTTACAGCCAATAGCACTAATCTAGAGACCATCTCAAACACTTAAGCCATTCTTGACATCCGGCCAGACTTTCGGTCAGATTTATCTCAAATTTAGAATGTAAAACTAAGCTTTCTATGTTGAGTAGAACACTCAGTATTGTGTTGCAGTCTGGTTTTGATCATCAGCCAGAATTTGTATAAGAAGTTAAATGAGAAATAAACTTTGTATAGGTCCCACTGAACTATTTTGTGGTCAGGGCTCCTGTTGATGAACCCTGGTTAGTTTGTCCAGGGTTGAAGAAGGAGAACAAGCTTTATAGCAGAGAGCACTCCATTGTATAGTGTATAAATGATAGGATTTATGCATGTTTTTATAAAGTCTGGGGGCTGAAATATGATCACATATACTATAAACTGTCAGAGTGGATGAATGAACATGGAGAGAAAGGGCAGTGAAGACAGCAGACCTCGGTAGTTTATGTATAGTGGTAGTTGTACTGGTGTCATCAGTGGTCTTCATCTCCATAATATATACTGGGGGCTAGGGGAGGCATGTGTAAAGAATAGGAAATCAGACTTTTACAGGAATGTTATAATGTAACTTTCAACATAATTAATCTTTTCAGATGAATTAAAAATCAAAATCCTATTTCAACTATTATGTATTGCTTTATATTGCACTGTAAATACAAAAAGAAATTAAAATAAAGTTAATATTAAATCAATAATATATTTCTTTTTAAATTTGAATGAATTTTTGTAAGAAATAGGTTATATTCCAAAAAAAAGTACACAGGATCATGTAATGAGATAAATTTTATTTTTTTAGACTTAAATCATAGCTACTTTAGAGTATTGTTGTAATTTACAGTAATTTCTCATATAAGACTGTCTTGGCGGACAAAGACGGTTTTTCCACTATCGAAAAGATAATTAAGTAAAATCATCAACCTGGCTGTGTAAGGATAAATAGGAAAGAAATCTGTTCTTCAGTTGCCTTATGTGAAACCTTTCCCAAAAGAATTGAAGGCCGATTCTGGAGGATTTTTCAATTATGATAAGTTTGATTATTGGTCAGTGATGACAGCGTTATCATCACATGCTACAGAAGATATTAAGTACTTTAGATATCATGACCATAGCTTTGTCAGCCTCAGATTTCCACTTTCCAGCTAGGCTAGTAGATTTTTTTGAAGATATCAAAGTTTCAAATTCTCTAGGGAAGACAATTTTTTCTCTAAGTTAAACCATATTTTTTCTTCCCGTCATTCTCCTGGCATTAGTCAGATGTCAAGAGGCCATACAGAGGGGTTAATGTTTCACTAAATTCATTGATCTAGCTAGCTATAGTGGCTTCTGCATTAAATTAAAACGAATCAATGGTTCTGATATAAAAAGCAGTTCCTAAACTAATCACAAAGACTTCACTTGTTACCTTGTTGATATACAGTTAAGGGAGGAGGATGAACACTGGGCGGTGTTTCTATTTACACACGCATAGTGTAATTACAGTGATGTAGACAAGAGAGACAGAAACACATCAGAAAGCCTGGCTAAAAGGTCAACAGTCGGCAAACTGCACATTCGCAATTTCAATATAAAGTAGTAGGTTGCCTACTACTCCTTCCTTCCATGAGAGTTTATTAGTCTGTTTACAAGATTTTGAGTTAAAATGGACTGAGTGTAAAGAAAACTAGACCGTGTTGTGTTACACCTGCATGAACCTTAAGCACCTCAAGCGGGGAAACATATGTAATGTGGAGATATTTAGAGTTTGGTAATCAGGGTTGGGAGACCAGAATCTGTGGTGTGTTATACGTAGCGTTGATATCTGGCCAGCTTAATCAGAACCACGATACCTACTTCCCAGTGCACACCATAAAAAATAACTAATTACCTGATAAAATGTGGAGAATTGAGGAGATGTTTTTGTTTTGAGGGAGGTTTCGTACTTTAATCGGTTTTGGTTGAGTTCATTTTACAAGAACCTGGTTTAAATTTTATCAAGTCTATCAAAATACACTCATGTTTACTGGGGCTGGCAGTCCATTTTTTAAAATTTATAATTAGTTGTTTTTAACACCATTGAAAACAATTTTCTGTCTAGTTCCATGCTTTCCATGTTCTGGGGGGGGGGGGGGGGGNAGAAGGAGTAATAATTAAACTGGTAAAAATAAAAATTAAATTAAAAAAAGTTGATACCAGTCATACTGTAAAAAAAGTAAATATTAAACTAATAAAGTGATAAATGACGGAAACTGAAATATATATAATGTTTGACCGTGTTCAAACCAAGGTATGTGGTTAGCATAGATTCTGTTACTCCAGGTATTAAGGCATTACATCGCGAAAACAGTTTATGCATAGCTAACAAATATAGTGATATGACCCAGTGTTATTAATTGCACTTGCAGGTATTGATTTGATACAGAAAATACAAGTAATGCGACTTCATTTAAACCTATGGAATATTGACTGTTTTTCTTTCTCCTTGTCTAGATACATTAAGGGCTGATCCAGATTAGCTTCAAGCTGGATCATTGAAACAATTTTGAAATTTTATGATTAAATCCTGGAGAATTTTTCCTCCCACTAATATAAAATCTCCACTTCAACCTGATGTTACCCCTAGAAACGATATTTGAACAATCTAAGTCTATACAAAGTCAAGTCCACTTTACCTGATCAGGGACAGAAGGATTAATTTTGATCTAATCCCAGCAATATTTGTAGCTCATAGAAACAATCACAGGACCAACACGTTAATTGAAGATTTTGATCGAGTGACGTAACTGTCAAACGACCTACCTATTGTCTAGCGGCCAGATTTTACCTCAGTTTCTCTGAACCGTGACCTCCATTTCCGAACTGCCAACAATGACCAGCGGTTGCAATATAATAATGTGAATATGTCATTATGTTATTTGGTTATTAGACTTTTAAAGGATATAGCTGGCTTACTTGGTGGGGAGACCCCACACAGTTATAGAAAACAACACAAAACACAAGTCAATCAACGTTAAGTCTTCGTAATCTATATCTAGATATACCTAGGACATGGTTTGACAGGCGTCTGAGTCGGCTTACCTACCATATTAAGTCCAGTGTAGACTTCAGCCCTGTTGGTTGTTGAGTCATAATTGATCAATTATTGTGTCCCATTACCTGCTATAAGTGTTCAATCATGGCTGTTTTTAGCGGGAATACTGTACATTACTTGTGGTATTTTTTGTTCCATTTTGTTCTTTTGTATTTCTATTTTAACAATCAATTAATGTAAATATATTTAAACAAATATATTAGCATTCCTTTTGTACTTTCTATATTTGCACATTAATTCATTAGCATTTTCTTTTTACTTATAATTCTATTTTAGAAATACTTATTCTATGTAGTATTTTACTGTTATATTATAATGGCTCAAATGTGCAGAGCTAATATTGAAATTTTGAAGAAAATGTAATCATCTTTTTATGATCTGGTTTACACAAAGCAATGATACACCAACTAGCGTTTGTGATACACTTTCCAATTTCTGGAAGTTATGATACAAACTGGAGGTTATAAAATGTACAATATTACTGTTATTAAACGAAATCCTAAACATTGAATAGTAGTGTGGAGCTCCCTTGTAAAGGAGGTAGTTATCAACACTAAGGTAGCATATATCCTTAAATGCAAACCATAGAATATTGTTGTACTTATATTGGTCATCAACAGCATCAACAAGTGACATGAACAACTTGTATGTATCAAAGTACTTCAAATGCATTACAAAGTCTACTAAAACAGGGCCATGTTTTAAATTCACAACTTTATGTTCTGCGTGTCTAACTGTTGTAGATAATTGTATCGTATTTTCATTTTCTTTGTCCACAGCCTGCGACATTCCAAGTGCCAAACCACACGACTGGTGTCACGTCAACAAGCATGGCTGGCCAGCCGATGGATGGGGGTATGACTCCGACCATGGGTACCCCTCAGAAAAGCCTCAATGAAATGATGGTAAATACAAGATATTTAAAAGTTTTTTTTGGGAAATTGACCTTGAGTACAAATTAGAAAAAATCATTGACAGATTAATTAATTCCATATTTCATAATATGATTTGATTCATAAGACCTGTATTTTGTAGATTCATGCAGATATGTTCTCATCACCTGCAGCCAAGAAGGGCCTGGACCTTGTTGGGATGGCATCACCTCAGTTTAAATCCCTAAGGGACTTATCGGAATGTAATGACAATGGGAGCATGGTCAGCAGCAGTAGCCAGCATTCCATCAAGTCAGAGTCCAAGAAACACCCAAGTCTTCCTAAAGAGGTACAGATATCATTCAACTCTTCCCCCAGAGGGCCTATACTTACTTATTTATATGACAGCACTGAAAAATCACAAAATAAAAAATTCAAACTTTCCGATAAAAGGTTAGGAGACTCCTTGGTTAATAAGTTGGTAGTATTTTGATAATTCAAGGGCTGTGATCAATAAAAACCTCTTCCAGAAGTAGTGATTTTTCAAAATATTTACTTGTTGTTTTCGTGTGTTTTGAATATACATCAGATGACTTGAATATGGAAATCAAAGTAAGCAATTGAATCAAGTAAAAGATGTGCTTAAAACCTGTAAATAGTGCAATATACATGGGGTTGTATTGGCCAGGATATCAGCTTATCTCTTATCTGTCCAGTTGCTATCAGATAGTAGGGACATCTACGACCCATTGGTTGTATAACTTATGACCATGATGTGAATGGATGCTATCAGAAAACAGGGACATCTGCTTCACCCTATGTCGTTTCAAGATATCTTGATGAAACTTGAGATATGCATGCATCACCCACAGAAGGTGTGCAGTGCACTGGAATTAGGTCACTGTGACATTCACCTCAAGGTTAAAGGTCAAATAAGTGCAACATTTTCGGTATTTTTAAGTCCGTCCCGTAAATGTTAAACTGTTGAAGATATCTTAATCAAACTTCAAGTATACCTGCATCACCCACAGAAGGTGTGCAATGCATTAGAACTAGGTCTCGTGCCCCACATTATACAGAGTTAATGCCCTTTGTTTATTTCTAATACCGAAGTTTTGTGTTATTTCACCAATGTTGACCAAACTTACTATATTTACGTATCTTGGGAAGGCGGAATCTCTCGCACTGAAATTTGGTCACGTGCCCCACTTCATAAAAAGAAATGGTCCTTTGTTTATTTTTAATACCGAAGTTTGTCCACGGCATAACTTCCATGTTATTTCACCTATTTTGACCAAATTTGCTATAGTTTTTTATCTTGGGAAGTAGGAGTGTCGCATTCTATATTCAGGTCTCGTGCCCCCACTATATAAAGAGATATTGCCCTTTGTTATTTTTTTTATACTGAAGTTTGTCTATTGGCTTATAAGGGGAGACATAAGTTTTTGTTCATAAAAACAAGTTTCTAGTTTGAATTAATATGATCATATTGTTGGAACATCTTCCTTGCGATTTGTGGTTGTTCAGCAAATGTCAATGGTCAGAATTAATGCAATCTGGAAGGAGGGACATGTATAAATTTATTTATTTTTCAATAGATTAGTTATATCAGCTTATTATAGGGTACCTACTTCATCATTGGTGGTATTGTGTATTGGCCTGATCCAGGACAATGGAATGCTTTCCTAATGACCCTCCCAGCCATCAATGTCTATGTGAGTTAAAGGGGATTTCAGCTTCTCTACCGGGATACAACTTAAAGTACAGCTTTACAAGTTATTGCTGCATAATCCAGATCACTGGTTCAAGCTTTTTAATGTCAACATATAGATGCAAAGCTATCTAAATTTGAACAATTCAGCTTTGAAATCATTCACTTCCTTGGAGAAGCCCAGTGTTGTTTTGTTGTTAGAGAAGTGGAGATGTATTATATTGGGAAGGTAGGAGTCTGTTGCTGGGTATAGAGGAGACATAGAGGGACATATGTCTGTAAGAGACAGCAACTGGTAGGCTATGAAACAGGGAGAAGGTTAGCTAAGGCGAATACAAACAACTATCCCTCTGACCTTACATATGGTAAATCACCCAAACATTCCATCAAATATTGGTGATCTTATGATTTTGTGATACATTTATGTTGATTTACTCGGACATTAGCCAGAATGGTAGTGAAGTTAAGTTATTTAGGTGTCATATATAGTTGAAATCTTGATTTGTATCGACATTTTGTTGAACAAATCATAGGAGAGTTACCGTACACAGTTCTGTTTGCCATATGCTCTTGAGATCCCATCCTGCCAGTGATGGTATATTGCTGAGCCTGGCTTGACTTCCCGTACAACCTCCTCCTTCAGTACATGACTAGGTCTGTTCCACCATTTTAACAGAATTATACATTACCAAAACTCCCTGTCAGGCACACAGCAGGTAGAACAATGCAAAAATATCAAAAATATGTGCAGCCAGGGCCTGGCAAAATCAACAGGAATTTCTGTGTCTGTAAGAAATTAGGGAAGGGGAGATAAGCCAAAATTAAATATGATATTAGAGTGTACGGCCAGGGGTGTGGAATTTCTGTGTCAAGAAAATTACTAAACAATGCATTAGCCAGAATTGATTACGATACTTGTTCTGATGCCAAGTAAACGGAATTTTCAGTAAATTTGGTAAGGGAAATAACTCCTAGCAACAACAAGAGGTCAAGGATAACGACAATTAAAGTATCTTTAACAAATATGGGCATGGCAGTGTTAACTAGATATTTTGATACATGCTGGAATTAATTTATATAGATTGTTGTGTAAATGTATCATCATCATGCTACATCAAGTAAAAGTAGGTTACAGTGGGGGGGAATCAGCGTCAAATATCTCACCAACTTTAAACCCCGAGTGTCAGTTATTTTAATAACATTATGATTTCTTCAGATTGAAAAAAAAAGAGTTCTGACAGTAATGTTTTATAACTGTCATGTGCCATGTTGTTGTTTTTAATGAAACACAAACCAAGGACAGTGACATGATTATGTTAAATAAACCAAATACATTTGATTAAAATTCGGCTATAAACAATGGGATATGACTGTCTGGAGTCTGGAATGATTTCATAGATTATTTGGGAGGTAGCCTCTGACCCCAATATTATTACACGAGTTGTGAGTGTGGGAGTAGGGAGTGAATATAGGCTCAGATAAAGCATGACCCTGGTGTTCTGGGGTTGGTCAGTGTAAGCTGTGAAAGGGTAAAAAATTAACATGTCACCCCAGTGTTAAAGGGGTCAGTGAGTTCAGTGTGTGATAGGGTCACAACATGTGACCCTAGTGTTATAGGGGTTGGTGAGTATGGGGTGGGATAGGTAAACAACATGTGACCCCAGTGTTATAGGGGTTGGTGAGTTCTGGGTGGGATAGGGTCACAACATGTGACCCCAGTGTTCTAGAGGTTGGTGAGTGTGGGGTGGAATAGGGTCAGAAAATGTGACCCCAGTGTTATAGGGGTTGGTGAGTTAAAGGTGGGATAGGATCCCAACATGTGACCCCAGTGTTATAGGGGTTGGCGAGTTAAATGTGGGATACGGGTTGGTGAGTTTAGTGTGGGATAGGGTGACAACATGTGACCCCAGAGTTATAGGGGTTCGTGAGTTAAATGTGGGATAGAGTCACAACAAGTGCCCCCAGTGTTATAGGGGTTGGTGAGTTTAGGGTGGGATAGGGTCACAACATGTGACCCCAGTGTTGTAGTGGTTGGTGAGTGTGGGGTGGGATAGGATCACAACATGTGACCCCTGTGTTATAGGGGTTGGCGAGTTAAATGTGGGATACGGGTTGGTGAGTTTAGTGTGGGATAGGGTCACAACATGTGACCCCAGTGTTATGGGGGTTGGTTAGTGTGGGGTGGGATAGGGTCACAACAAGTGACCCCAGTGTTATAGGGGTTGGGGAGTGTGGGGTGGGATAGGGGCACAACAAGTGACCCCGATGTTATAGGGGGTGGTGAGTGTGGGGTGTGGTAGGATCACAAAGTGTGGGGTGGGATAGGGTCACAACATGTGACCCCAGTGTTATGGGGGTTGGTTAGTGTGGGGTGGGATAGGGTCACAACAAGTGACCCCGATGTTATAGGGGTTGGTGAGTGTGGGGTGTGGTAGGATCACAACGTGTGGGGTGGGATAGGGTCACAACATGTGACCCCAGTGTTATAGGGGGTGGTGAGTGTGGGGTGGTGTGACCCCATTGTTATAGGGGTTGGTGAGTGTGGGTTGGTGTGACCCCAGTGTTATAGGGGGTGGTTAGTGTGGGGGGGGATAGGATCACAACAAGTGACCCCGGTGTTATAGGGGGTGGTGAGTGTGGGGTGGTGTGACCCCAGGGTTATAGGGGTTGGTGAGTGTGGGGTGGGATAGGATCACAACATGTGACCCCAGTGCTATAGGGGTTGGCGATTTTGGGGTGGGATAGGGTGACACCATGTGACTCTAGTGTTATAGGGGTTGGTGAGTGTGGGGTGGTGTGACCCCAGTGTTATAGGGGTTGGTGAGTGTGGGGTGGGATAGGGTCACAACATCAGACCCGAGTGTTATAGGGGTTGGTGAGTGTGGGGTTGGATAGGGTCACAATATGTGACCCCAGTGTTATAGGGGTTGGTGAGTTAAAGGTGGGATAGGGTCACAACAAGTGACCCCAGTGTTATAGGGGTTGGTGAGTGTGGGGTGTGATAGGATCACAAAATGTGACCCAAGTGTTATAGGGGTTGGTGAGTTAAAGGTGGGATAGGGTCACAACATGTGACCCCAGTGTTGTAGGGGTTGGTGAGTGTGGGGTGGGATAGGATCACAAAATGTGACCCAAGTGTTATAGGGGTTGGTGAGTTAAAGGTGGGATAGGGTCACAACATGTGACCCCAGTGTTATAGGGGATGGTGAGTTCAAGGTGGGATAGGGTCACAACATGTGACCCTAGTGTTATAGGTGTTGGTGAGTTAAGGTAGGGATAGGATCACAACATGTGACCCCTGTGTTGTAGGGGTTGGTGAGTGAGGGGTGGGATAGGATCACAACATGTGACCCCAGTGCTATATAGGGGTTGGCGATTTTGGGGTGGGATAGGGTGACACCATGTGACTCTAGTGTTATAGGGGTTGGTGAGTGTGGGGTGGGGTAGGGTCACAACATGTGACCCCAGTGTTATAGGGGATGGTGAGTTCAAGGTGGGATAGGGTCACAACATGTGACCCTAGTGTTATAGGTGTTGGTGAGTTAAGGTAGGGATAGGATCACAGCATGTGACCCCGATGTTATAGTGGTTGATGAGTGTGGGGTGGGATAGGATCACAACAAGTGACCCCAATGTTATAGGGAGTGTTGTAGGGGTTGGTGAGTGTGGGGTGGGATAGGATCACAACATGTGACCCCAGTGTTATAGGGGTTGGTGAGTTAAGGTAGGGATAGGATCACAACATGTGACCCCGATGTTATAGGGGTTGATGAGTGTGGGGTGGGATAGGATCACAACAAGTGACCCCAATGTTATAGGGGTTGGTGAGTGAGGGGTGGGATAGGGTCACAACAAGTGACCCCAGTGTTATAGGGGTTGGTGAGTGTGGGGTGGGATAGGGTCACAACAAGTGACCCCAGTGTTATAGAGGTTGTTGAGTATAGATTAATGGTATATGGTCTCAGATAGCATGTGACCGTCATAGTCACTGAAAGATGGCCAGGAATAGGGATAGCAGGAGAGCATACCTTAAATTAAGTTTGTTAGTCAGATGGAGAGGTATGGCAGCACATGCTGGGGGTAGAGGAGCACAATCTCCATCAGGCCGTTAAGGCTATTTAATTGGTGCTAAGTTTTTTAACATGGACTGATTCCTATGCCATTCCAAAGAATTTGTGGGTGGGTCCTTTAAGAGGCCCAAGAAGGGCTGATGGTAACTACATGGTGTCAAGTTCAAAAAGGTATCTAGAATGTTTGTATGATTTGTTTTCAATACCTGGAATGTATATGGCAAAAAATATGTTAAATATAATAATAAATAATCTGTATTTGTGGGGGCCTTCCAAATAAGTTTATGATACCCGGTATGTTGTCTTTTCTAATACATGTTTAAACGATTTAGTCAAAGCACATTGCGGGAATTCTAGACTTCCTCAATATAGATGGAGATACAAAGGGTTGTTTTTGAATTTGGAAAAATGTATGGGGCAGTTTTGAAGTAACTGTGTTTACAAAAAGGAAAGAGTGTGTGTGTGTGTGTGTTATGGAGTAGGATTTCTTATTTTAACAGTGATTGTTTATTATATGGAGCAGATTCTTTTATTACTTTAAGTTAATTCATATTCATATGCCGTATAATTTCTTAGTTAAATAGTGAAAATGACATCAACACTTGTTAAGTAAGCACTTTGCTTCATTGCAAGTAGAGTTCACAGAATCAGCTATTTTTTGTGGTGGGCCTTATTTAGTAAACATTACTGTAATGATAATTAGATGTCAGAAGTTGGGATGGTCTTGTTTCGGATTTGATCAAAATCACACATTTATATAACGTAAGTAACATATATATCTACCTTATCTGGTGTTGTTGGATAAGTGGTAATGCTACAGGCAACAAGTGAAATTTCTGTGCTTTCTAGGTTGGATGTTTTCACCGTATCCATCCCACTTACCTATGTAAACACTATACAGGAAGGGGAGAGTGACTCCACTATCAGCAAAGATTGTCAAACTTTCATTCAGCATTTCAATCTTGTCTACTTAAAATGATGAATACACAATAGACAGATTGTCAAAGTAGTATTTGGGGTGCGTTCTGTCTACATTAGCAGGGACACACAATAGACGCGGGCGTAGATAAATGGCCTGATATGTCGCCCGTACTAGATAAGTCTAGATAACATTAATGTGATGGCATGTAAAAGGAAAGGTGAATGTAGCTGGGTCTAACTTAGCTTGATTGCATACAGTGGTTAACAATAATTAATGGTGATATTATGCACCAGATTTTATATTGTGGTATATACCTGAACGTTTCTCTGGACTGTTTTCGCTTCACCAGCCAAGTCACCAAACCTCCCATATTTGCATAGAATTTCAGATTTATTACTCATAGCTTCGAAACTAAAATTGTGTTATTGTTATCAGACTGTAGTTATTGGTGTATTTGAAGTTGATGCCTTGACAAAAGCTATGTAAATTATGTTATTTAAATTAAAAAAAAAAGAACACAGGTTCTGAAAATAACAGCTTATCAATTTATGTTTTTTCATTAATTTTTTTCCTCCTGTAAAACTGAGGCAGATGATTTTTTTAAAATATAATCAGTTATGACAGTTTTACATTTAACCCTTTCAACCCTATGTAACTTAGTAGACTCTACCATGCATTGATATGGATGAATCCATTATGGTCTACAGTGGTGAAAGGGTTAATACCCCATACAACATAGCTAGGGATGGGGATGTGATGGTTCAGACTGGAGTCAGTTTGTTTGTCCGTCTGGCTATCTGTAGTCTCCCAAGTGCTGCAGTAACTTTAATACTTTAATGAATCCTAGCCATCACATAAACTTCAGCATACATGCCTGCCATGCTGTTACCAGGGTGCTGCCATCTTGTTACAATAAAAATAACTCTGACCTCGAGGTCAGATGAAAACATTCTATGAGCCAGTTACAGAGGTAATGGAGCGTAGTGTATGGAACCCTGGGAGATGTTGATTATTGTACATCCTCCTACACACTTTCAGTATCATTTAAGTTCATGCTGTCATATAGTATGATGGACCTCTTCCAATAAAACCTGTATAACTAGAACCCTGTTATATGAAGAAACCTGTGTAAACGAGACCTCCCAAATATCATTTCTATTAAATTTGTTCCATGTGAAATCTTAAGACTCTGTTCTGAGTGGTAGGTCCAAGGGATGTTTGGTTATTCCACATAAACAAGTGTGCTATAATATTCTTTGTTTCAATTTAACTGTCAAGTAAACTAAACAATAATTTCTATTGTTACAGGCTGTGGCTATCATGTTGGACTGGCTGCGACAACACAAAGACAATCCCTACCCTAATGACGACGAGAAAGCAATGTTAATAAAACAGACAGGTTTGACAATAAACCAGATCAACTATTGGTTCACCAATGCCCGTCGCAGAATTCTCCCAAAATGGGCGCAGCAGTGTAAATAAAACCAGGAAACTGGATGTAACAGAGCATAATAGTACTATCACAGGCTGGACGACGACGACGACGTAGGAAATCTCTTCTCCTGAAAATAGAACCCAGACTTTCCTTGTCAGAATCATCAGTTGCACTTGTCTGTGCATGATCATGGCCATGGAATTCTGGATGTAGCAACAACTTTCCCAGTAGCAACTGGTTGTGGCACCTGAGGATTATAAATGAGTGTTGCAGGTAGGGTACTCCTTCCTTGGACACTGATCGCCTCTCTAGCCGAGGAGGCCGGAGACTAGTGGGCATCTCTTTCACCAAGGCAAGAGATAAGTTACTCCACTGTGATTGACAGGAGGAGACTATGGTCCAAAGGCGGACAAGGGAAGGATGGATGTTGTCAGTGACTGGTAACCATTGAACAATCTAGTGCTGGCCATTATTGGCCATAAACCCAGTCGAGCCTCAGCAGAGATCTTGAATGTCTTATCTGATTGTGTTTGGGGATTGAGACATGGGTCACTTCAGTGAGCAGTGTTGATGTGTGACCAAAGAAGGATATTGTACGATCACCACAGAAAACATTTCTGTGGTATCTCAAACCAAAGTGTGTGATATATGTACATATGTATTCAACACAAACTGTTATCATGTAGATAGTTTCACAAAATGTATATATTGAAATGTATGATTTCATTACCAGTCAACATACCAATAATCTCACACAAATTAACAAGTGTGTTCCTAATACGTTTATGTAACTTATCTAATGTATTTGACAAAAAAATGGGAGTTTTCCATGACGTTTTGTCAAGTTTTCAGGGTTAGTGCTTGTATTTTATTTGTAGTTCAGACATAAGATGTCTTGTTTATGGATGAACAAGAAGCAACAAATTAAGAAGTTCTGAAGAAATCATGACTTTGTTGTCTTGAATAGTCACAATAGTGGATGCATTTTGATAAAACAGTTATTTATAAAATGTGTGGAAGTGAGTGAAGGAGTGAGTGAATACATACTATGCATTTTTTTAAAAGAATATTAACTAAGTAATGATTTTATTATTATTTAAAAAAAAAATGTCCATGAGAGGACTCTAATGCAATAATTTAATCCCAGTTTTGTGGACATGGGGAGATTACTCTTTGAAGATGACCATGGTCGTGATTTTATTTTATTTTATTTTATTTTAATCACTTTTTAAAAGTCAGTCAATAATCATCTCAATTTTCATCCCATTTCAATGATTGTGTTCAAAACAAAAGCATTATTTCAAATTCCATTTCATGTATGATTTACCATTTATGAGAGTCTGAGACTAATGTTTGTTATTAGACAAAAGTAATGCGGATTGACATTAATTGACTAATTATGAAAAGCTACATTACAATTGTTCACATTTTTTTAACATCTCAGGGAAATTAAGATTTTTTTGTACTATTCAATAACTGAGAGAAACAAATATTAGACATATAATTTCTTCTAATCAGATCTGTCTCTTAGCATCTATGGATCTATGGCGCCAAAATCTCATCAAATTACCCAAACATTTTACTTGAAGTTTGTCTGCTTATCCTTTTAATAATTAAGCTTTAATTTTATAGCATGCTGGATCATGTAGTTGTCATTATTAATATGAGTTTAAAGCTGAGCTCATTTTACAGTAATGACAGTGCCTTCTGTGGAAGTGAAGGGAGATAACTCTTGAACTTGTTTATCTAAACTGTATATACATGTGTTTGCCCCTGTAGATGGTAATATGACGGCACACAGGAGAGAAAATTTTATTCGCCCTTTTTCCATGTTGTACTTTGTATATAGAAAAGCATGACAACATGTTAAAAAAAATACTTTTTACTGTGTGTTTTTATGATAAATGTTGATCCTTTGTTTTAGAAGCAATATACTTGATGAGAACAATTAAAATCACATTGTGATATATATTTACATGTTTAGATGTTTGTGTCAAGACTTTTCACAGTTGATGTATATTTCATATCATACATCTAGTGTCTACTTCAGCAGAAGCCTTGCAAGTCTGTCCAGAACATTTCCGCCCAAACATTGCTACCATTTGAGGCAACTTTCATATATGTGAATTCTCAGTAAAACTATTTTTCTAATATATTGGTACATCACTTCATTCAAACAGTTGTTTTTCTCGGAGTAGAGTCTACTTTATCAATTTTGCCAAAGATACATTATTATTTAGGCTAAAGTTGTTTTTGAGCTTAGCCAAAATATATCTGCAAATCGAGCTATAATCTTACAAGAGTTTGATACCTAGATTAGGAGCTTGTTGAATTTGATAGATACAATGACAGTCTACAAACTGCAATGATGTCATCACAAGTCTAGAACTTGGGATTTTATGAAATAATGAAATATTTGAGATGTGATTATGAATTAGGCTGTCATTTCCTTTACACAGTATTGATTTCAGATTTAGCTTTATTTTTTTTTTATATATATATACCGAGGTATTGATTTTATTAAGAGAAAAGGTTTATGGAATTAAATCCAAAGAGGATGTTTGTTGGAGTTGTGAACATGTAAGTTTCCTCTTCTATAATAGAGCAAATGTGAAAACGTTCACTTATTATATACATTGTATACATAACTTATTCAGTGGGTAATTACCTTGCATGCACGCCTGATCACATTGATATACCATGAAATATATCTAGATTACAGAAATTTACACCAATATTGCCAGCATGCCACTATTTTGAAGAGTCGAAAGAGAAAAATTTGCATTTTTACTGTGTACAATACAAAGTATTTTTCCAAGAGAGAATAAATTTATGTGCCTTTCCAAAATTGAAATTCGTCCAAATTGTTTGTTATAACATGATCAATTAGTTCACACCTGTTTCAAATTAAGTGATTAAAAAAGACTACAAATTTTATATTATACATTTTAAAACTTATGCTGTTAACTTTGATCAAATTTAGAAACACAATGGAGTCTAATTGTGGTAGCTTGCGAGGAACTAACAAGATGATATGCATGCTTTGAGTAGCTGTGAAACTGTTCTCTAAGGAATACAAATGAGAAATGTCTGTTTTCCTGGAGTAGAAATACCATGGGATGCAGATTTAATGTACTCACTTAACCAAATAATGTTGGTTTTTTTGTCATGAACTTGTTAAGATGTGGTTGCTTACTCTGACATGTTTTAGAGCAGAGAGTAGCTCTTTGCTTATACAAATGTAACCAAAGATAGAGTTAGTAGCATGATAAGCATCGATCTGTACGAATGCTGTATAGCAAAATATGTGTTATCATCAGTCTAGATTTCCATTTAATGGACAATATTTATTTTCTCTTCAATAACTTATTATTTTGAGATTTTTGAATATTTTTAATGATTTTTTTTTTTACATCTTCCTGGCTTTTAATCAAGGCAAAATGGCAGATTCCAAAATTGCAACAGAAAGTATATTAGGTGACATGTTTATATTTCAATCAAGACACAAAGTTTTCTATATACTTTTAGTAGTGTAATTATTATCAAAATTCTAGTTTTAATGATTTTTAATTTTTTTTTTTTTTTATAAAATATGACCTCAAAACAATTCATACGTTTTAGGAGACCGCGGGCAACAACCTTAATAGCACCTCTTTCACATTTACTATCTCCTTTATTTTCAATGGCATTTTCTTTCTTTCCTCTTTTCTTTCTGAGCATTTTTATGTAGATTTTACAGAGCACCTCCACCCATTTTCACAACACAATGTTCATTATAACCACAGCTTGTCATTACTTGAACTGATAAAAATATATTATTTGGTCTGTATTGTGAGATGGGGAGTCTTGTGAGCTGTTATTAATACCCAGGCTCGTCAAGGAAATATTTTGTAAATGTAACTTTCTTTTACATATCTTAAACACGAGGCAAGGTTTTCAAGTAAAGGTGCATTGTTTGTTTTTGTGTTTTGTTCAACATATGTTCAAGTAGACGTGTATCTAACTCTTGCAAGATATATGTGTGGGTGTATGTGTGCTAGTGAAGTTTAAGGCGTGTTTCGTAGAGTATTTACATGTATAATGGTTGTGTGATGTGGTGTACAAAGTTCTGTCACATTTTAAACATTAAGATGAGGCAAGATATATGTGCCTGCTGTTTATACTTTTTACAAGATAGATAAAGACAAAATAGTGTAAACTGCAATTAATAAAGCTATATTTTTAAACCTACAGATGGCTGTCATGTTTGTTTGTCTTTAAAGTGAATCAAACTTCATCTTGCAATTAAGGTGGTAGTTTGTTTGCACATCTTTGTGTCTCTTGATGTCCTGGAATTAAATCCCAAAGTCTTCAATAAGACTTGCTGCTAGTAATCAACTGAAAATCGAGTTGTTTAGATATACTGTATACACGATTAACTTCCAAGACGTTCCAATTAGGGAATAAATGCAAAATATTGATCATGTTAGGGAAACATGGTTTTTGTTTGAATGTCATGTGATCAAAATAATCAAGACACTTGTATATATAAAACAGTGGAGTAATAAATATTATCACATACTTGTTGATTCTTGTTATAGTAATACAAGCAATGTTCCGACCATGAAATACAACGTTCTGTATTACACACGTGCAATACGGAATGTTGTATTTACCTACTAGCCGGAACTACTTTTTAGCCCCCCATCATCTGATGGTGCGCTATTCAAATCACCCTGCATCCGTGGTCCATCCGCTATCCGCCGTCTGTCCTTAAACAATTCTTGTTATCGGTATTTCTCAAGAAGTGCCAGAGGGATCTTTCTCAAATTTTATATGTAGGTTCCCCTTGGTCCTTAGCTGTGCAGGGCAACTTTTGAGACTGATCGGATAAACAACATGGCCAACAGGCAGCCATCTTGGATTTTGATATTGAAAGTTTGTTATCGCTATTTCTCAAGAAGTACCAGAGGCAAAGGGATCTTTCTCAAATTTTATATGTAAGTTCCTCTTAGTCCATAGCTGTGCAGTGCAACTTTTGAGACTGATCTGATAAACAACATGGCCGACAGGCCGCCATCTTGGATTTTTATAGTGTAGGTTTGTTCCCGCTATTTCTCCAGAAGACCTAGAGGGATCTTTCAATTTTATATGTAGGTTCCCCTTGGTCCTAGCTGTGCAGGGCAATTTTACAGACTGATCGGATAAACAACATGGCCGACAGGCAGCCATCTTGGATTTTGATAGTGAAAGTTTGTTATCGCTATTTCTCGGGAAGTACCAGAGGGATCTTTCTCAAATTTTCTATATGTAGGTTCCCCTTGATCTCTCGTTGTGCATGTTATTTTTTGAGACTGATCATAAAAACAAAATGGATTAAAAGAAGAACTAAACAGATCTTTCTCATATTGCAATGATCGATTCTATTTCTTTCACATTAAGTACTGTACTAGTATAAATATCTGAAATGACAAACTCATTTTGAAGGTTGGCTTTCATACACATCAGTATTAAGTTTAGATCAAAAGTTACCTCAAGGTGCATTTACTGTTAACATGACTCAATCAAACAGATTAGAGGAAAGAAGAGAAAAGATCGAACCGACAAAGAACTGATGAAGATGGTACAAAGGTGGGCCCCAAGATCTCTCTGGGATCTCTTGTTATGGGAAACCCTTTGTCATGGCGAACTGAAAAGTTCCCGGTATTTGCAAAAAATATCAAAGTTTATAAAATCTTTGTATCGACTACCGAATACAGAAGGTATGTGATAAAAGCAAGACCACACACTTGTCTTTTTCTAACGAATCAGAAAGCACTCATTTATTGTGCGACGTATATATTCGTCTACGTAATAAATGAGTGCTTTCTGATTCGTTAGAACAAGAGGCCCAATGGGCCTGCATCGCTCACCTGGTATTAATCTCACCCTTGTTATCTTAAAAGTGGACTAAAATACAGTCACCCTTGGCCTTTTGCTTATTAAGAAGTCGTTTAAAGGTTTTTAGCTCACCCGCCCGTAGAGCAAGTGAGCTTATGCCATGGTGCGGCGTCTATCGCTCCCTCTGTCAGTCAACTTTTTACTTAAAAAAACTTCTTTTCAGTAACCAAAAGGCCAAGGATGATGATATTTGGCCAGTGGTATGCTGGAAACAAGGGCTACCAAGTTTGTTCAAATGAATGACCTTCATTCATTTTCAAGGTCACAGGGGTCAAATATGTTAAAATCTTTGAACCGACTTCTTCTGAAGAACCAAAAGGCCTTCGATGATGAAATTTGGCCAGTTACATGCTGGGATTAAGTGCTAACAAGTTTGTTCAAACTTATGACCTTCACCCATTTTCAAGGTCACAGGGGTCAAATATGTTTAAAACCTTTAAACAACTTCTTAGGAATACCCAAGAGGCATAGGATAATGATATTTGGCCAGTAATATGCTGGGATGAAGGGCGACCAAGTTTGTTCAAACATATGACCTTCACCCATTTTCAAGGTCACAGGGGTCAAATATGTTTAAAACCTTTAAACAACTTCTTAAGAATACCCAAGAGGCACAAAAGGCAAAGGATAATGATATTTGGCCAAGGGCATGCTGGGATGAAGGGCTACCAAGTTTGTTCAAATAAATGACCTTCACCTATTTTGAAGGTCACAGAAGTTGTTTTCAAGATATTTGAACCCTGTAACCTTGAAAATAGATGAAGGTCATTCGTTTGAACGAACTTGGTAGCCCTTTATCCCAGCATACTGCAGGCCCAATATCAGAACCCTTGGCCTTTTGGTTATTGAGAAGAAGTCGTTTGAAGATTTTAACCGTTTGACCCCTGTGACCTTGAAAGTGGGTCAAAGTCAATCATTTGGACAAACTTAGCAGTCCTTCATCCCAGTATGCTACAGGCCCAATATCAGTACCCTGGGCCTATTGAGAAGTCGTTTGAGGATTTTACGACATTTGACCCATGTGACCTTGGAAGTGGGTCAAGGTCATTCATTTGAACAAACTTTGTAGTTCTTCATCCCAGCATGCTACTGGCCAAATATCATCACCCTAGGCCTTTTGGTTATTGAGAAGTTGTTTAAAAGTAAAATATTGCTGCTGTACCACGGCATTAGCTCACCTGCCCTGAAGTGTGTGGTCTTGGCATATATATTGTTTGCTTTGGAGATGAATTGCACGGAAAACTATCGAACAAATATTTTGAATTATCAACTTAGTCTTCTTTAAAATGAAAGTCTATAATTTTGTTGTGAAGTGATGATTTAGATAAGTGTTTTCTACATATAGACATTGAAAAGTTGTTTACTACCAACACAATTTAAACATTTTCTCTCAAACTATGGCAATTTGGTGGTGGTCTTATAAATCATTTTCGTACGTAATTGCCATATTAGCAAGACAAAAACAAAAAGTCAGCAAGTAGTTTGGAATATTTATTTCCAGTAATTTAAGTTTTCTCTGTGCGTCGTACACAACGCTGACAGTATCACAGCTGAACACATTAGAATTGTTTTTCATTAATCCTTGACATACCGTGTCGACTATTACACGAGTACACCCATACATTACATTGTGCTACCACACTGAAGTCTTTTGCACACATTCACTTTTTCTCTCAGTCAAGCATGCACTCAACTCCAAGGGAGTCATGGTCTATCGAGAAACCCAAAAAGCACTAAAGAAACACCATAATGGACATAAATCATGCAAAACTAATTTGTTCACACCATTAATTCTTTCTCTCGCTCCCTCTCTCGCCCTGCTGCGGGTATATTTATCATTTGTCCGTCATAATTCTTTTCAAACAATCTAAATACACATGCTCATAATTTTGAACTACTACCAGCATTTCCCAAATACCTGGAAATATCTTCTTAGTAAATTGTCATTAGTATCGGGTCACACACTATATCTGTATATTTAGGACTATACTATCACATCAAACACATCCCTCTACACTTGATTGCACCTGGTAGTATTTGTGACCACGTAACCCTGTATCACTCCAGTGGTCAAGAGATCCTCCAGACATATCAACAGCTTGTCAGGAAAAAAACACATACAATGGCCATTAACAACAATATAAGGTACAACGGAGATGTTAATTTTACAGCTAATGGTAATGTTCCATCGGCACATATCCCATTCCTTGGTAATATTTCTTTTTATATGGCAAACAAATCATTAATAAATGATAAAACTACTCAACCAGGATCTTTAACCAGCAATGCATGCTTAAAAACAGTTATTATATTATTGATAATGTTCTTCACTTGCTTGTGAGAGGTTTTCAAAATTGCTCAATTATACAACATATACAATGGTTTGATACGTTTCTTTTAATTCGGGTGCAATGGATAAGTTGATTCAAACAATGGTATATTCACATTACAGACACAGCCAGTCCCACTACTAATGTTGAGCAGATTCTATCTAGTCACTCTCACCGTCATTTTGCATTGCACATTGTCTGCTAAGCTTTATAAACAAAAAAATATTGATGTACCATCGTTAAGGACTCATACAAACAAATGTTTATGCAAGTGCTAACTTTTACAAATAGCACATGTACAAATTATATATCTATATCTTAAAGAGATAAAACAAAGTAGTATTTAAAGGGAAGTTGTCATTGCCGGATGTGAAGGAAAACAGTAATTGGAACAAAATCTATATATAGAAATGGTACATACAATGTTTTTTGATTTACAAAAACATGCAGTATAAAATTTGCTGTATAAAGGACAGTAATTCCCATGGTTTTTTTCATAGTCTGTGTCCATTAGTCTACAGACACAGGCTTCATTGTGCACTCGTGTGAACATCTCTGCAATCAACATCTTCTGCTTGTATCAAAATGAGGTAGAACAGCTTGCTGAGTTAGGCAGAGTACAATGTCTCAGTGCACCAGTATACAAATCATTGACATGAACAAAAATATCACCACAAAAATTACGATACAAATTCTGGTGCTTTGGTCTATTTTAATGTATGTACCTCGTGTGAGGATCTCAGATCTACTTCAGTAGGTCTACCAAGACCCTTTAGTTTTTAAAAGGTAATAGGCTGTTTTGAGATGTATTTTGTTTCAGTTCTGCAGTAATTTTCAGATCTACATTATACAAATTCCCCTTTAGATCATTAGTAAAGGTCAATCTGAAGTGTATTTAGTTAAATGATTGTTTTTCAATCTACTTTATACATCTATTTTCACATAATTGTGTAAATGTTTGATAAATCCTAGTAGTTGATTCCACAGTTACATATTTCACAATTGTAAAATACAAGAGGAGTCTTTTGATAAAATTGTCTGAATAACTTGAGAGATATTTGGATTTTAGATAGATCATCTTGTCTGTGAATTACCTTAACAAGTATTTGGAATTCAATTCAGTTGTACAGGTTATTTTGAAGACTGTTTATTTTAGAGGTTTATTCAGGTTAAACAGAAACATTTCTCCTGTTGTTATGCATCCAAGTTTCACTGCAAAACCTTGGGGGATGCCACTACAATACAAGTGATAAACTAGTCACTGTGACCTATTTAAATAACACACAACTTCTGTGGGTGATGCATACGTCAAATTCATAGATACCTCTAACAAATGAAGGGTTAGGCCCCCAAAAAAGTATGTCTCAGGTACCTCGACCGACCTTAATTTTTATCTCCAATCCTAACATTTTTATCTCCCTCAACCAGTCAACACACTTTATCCAGTGTTGGGATAAATTGTCAACTGGATGCAAACAAATTGATTGACAATAAACAAGACAACTATATATACCCTCTCTACTTCATAGGCAGGTATCCAAACCAAATTTAAATCCCATATTATTATTTAAAGGTCCTAAATATGTTTGTTGATTTTTGAAATTACTTAAATTACCCCCCCCCCCCCCTTTATTTAAAAAAAAATCAAAAAAAGAATCATGACCGACCTACCCATTTTTTCAGGCATGTTACCCAAAACATACATACAAAATATATTTGTTTGCCTTATTATATAACCTTTATAGCTTCAGATTTACAATATATATGCTTCCCGAACGAACTGAAATCATACACAAAATCTGATTCCCCATAATCAAAATCTTGTTTCACATAATCTTTGGATTACCATTAGAAGGCAATGAAAACTCATATAATTATCTTTTTATTAAATAATTAGAAAATTTAAATTAAGATGAACATTCAGTCCATGCCATGCTTGTGTCTCTATTTCAATACTGAAACCCTATTTCTAGTTCTTTTTGATTGAATACTTCAGAGCGGACAGAAACAACAGGTGGGTTAACAATAAAGGCATAAATAAACAGTATTAAATACGAACATTTTAAATTGCAGAATTTGGAGAAATTTGAAAAAAGTATTGCTCTATTTATCATGCAAAATTGATAGCATTTTACAAAACAAAACAGTCATATTGTCAAGTCCATTATTTGCTAGACTGATTCGTTTTTCCTCTCAGGAATATTTTTTGGAGATTAATTCATATTAAGCTTTTCGAGTCTAAAAATGTATTGATGTGGTTTTACTTCTTGTTGACATCACTGCTGTCTAACAATTGTTTCATTTATTTCCACATACAGTGTTATTTCAAAATTTTCTCCGTTTGGCATTACAACATATTTACGTTCAAAATCAGTTAGAAGAAATCTGAGAAACAAATTACTTCTCACATTACTAACACAGGAGGAGATGAAATAGTTTTGAGGGTGTATTGTTTTCTTCTATTTGAACACTAGCTCTTGATGTACATCTAACTTCATACTCCTCCTTGTTAGGTCTCAAAGATATCCTCCCCTGCACTTGGTACAATCCTGCTTGTCGTTACGACCATGGACAACACCAGCATGTCAAAGTTTGGGTGACACTGGCTGATGTGTGGCCGCTGTGCCAGTTTGGTGGGCTGTATGAGATCACAGTCTGCTGAACACAGATCACCCTATACCATCAGGTCACATCCATCGCCATGTCATGCTTTATACTGTTCATGTTATTCAGACGACTCACTTCGTCATGGTTCTGCCTAGAAAGGAAGTTTATTGTCAGTTACAGTCATCAATTCTCATATTCCTATGCAATAACTTAATGTTCATGTCAACCCACAGAAACTTAAAAAGTTGGGAACCACAGAAATGACATTAAACAGGAATACAAAATATCCCCAACTATTTATCAGTTTCCACTTCAAACTGATTGTTAACATCAATACTAAGTGGATTTATAAACATCAGGTGATAGTGCCATCTTTTTCAAAGTGGGGTCCCAAACAAGTGCTTAATTTGGCTACATAAAGCAATAAATCTAAAGGTCATGCTATTGTGGAACATCTAGTCTCGGTTGTCTTTCTTGGAGATTTTCACATCTGTATACCAACATTACTTTGAATTTTGATCCCTTGGGTTGGCCAAATTAAAATTTGCAGGGTTTTGGTTTGAAACAAAGTGAATGTACACATCTAGACGATGCTACAGATGGCAATAATTAAATTTCTGGTGTTTGTCCAACATGATAGTTTTGAAAATTTCTAAAATTCCCCAATCCTCAATTTTCTAGGTCTGTTACACTCTACAATATAGATATAAAAGTTGAATTTGAAAAGTCTTAAGCTGATAGACATTTTCATTGTTAAACCCCCCCCCAAAAAACATATTACCAGGGTAATTAGATTTAACTTGATTCTAAAAAGATAAAATTAAAGATTGCAATACTGCAATTCAGTGGAAATTAAGTTTCATAACACATCTGAATTCCCATATAGTAACAATATTTCAGAACTGCTTACTTCATACTTTCCAGTGGTGCAGCCTTAGAGAAATTTTTCAGGAGATTTGAGCTGACGGCCGAGACAGTCTTGTTTGATATTGAATTGATTGGTGTGAACGCAGACGATGATGAGGATGATGAGGAGGAGGAGGTCAGGCTAGAAGATAAACCTTTGGTGGTAGTCAGTGGTGAAGCAGATGAGTTATTGTTTTTGCTGATTGGAAAATTTAACTGTAACACTGTGGCTGCCGGTGACGTTGAAAGCCCTGTGATTTTACCTGTTGGAATGAAGAGTATACCAGTTAAGAAACAGAATCAACATTTGATGAAATACTTAAAGGACATTCTTTTTTTAACTTTAGTATCTATCTAGTTTTCAACCTATACATTTTCTATTTCTTAACTCAAACCAATAGTTTTTTTTTCATTTTTTCACTCAAATGCAAGCCTAAATTACTGGTAGCAGATCGGAAACCCTGATTTCTTCCTACAAAGTAAACCAATAAAGCTTCCTACAATAAAACCTGAGTTTTCAAGGAAATCTGACAACAAAGCTCCTCCCATCTGAATATGAAACTATGGAGTTGCATGAAAATGTTATCCTTTTGGAGCTATACTTTTTGCTTTGATACACATTAATGGTGCCTCTCACCATTAAATAGTAAATAAAGTTCATTAAAAAGAAATCATTTTCATAAAAAAATATTTCATAGGATGTCGAAATATGTGTGTGAAACTTTCCCTGAAAATTCATCTATGATCATAATAGAACTACCACTTCTTGCACAAAATGTACACAACATTTTCCAACAAACTAGAAAACAAACTTATTATTTTATTTTAACACTCTGCAGTCTTACTTTGTGCTGATATAGGTCCATTGGACAAAGTCTTTGTTGTAGGGATAACAGATGCCAAAGGTGATGACAACGTGACTGCAGGCGACACTGCAGAAATTGCCACTGTCGGTAGAGGTTTGGCTACAACCGATACACTAGACGTTGGTTTGATGGCTTTTATTGAGATTGTGGATGATACTGACGGTGAAGATGACAATGATGAAGACTGTGTACTAGCACCAGTTTTTGTTGCACTTTGAAGTTGCGATGTGTTAAGTACGGCAGACACCGCAAATTTTGCACTTTCTGAATCAAGTGTGAATCTTGAGGTGGGTTGAGAAGAAAAGGAATGATCGAGTTCACTGCTACACGAGCTGTCCAGAATTAGAGTGTCATGCTTGCGTAATTGTTCCTCCTGTGCCCGCTGCATCTGCAGTAGCTGTTCACGGTGAGACTGAAAACTTTCTAAATTAAACTCCGTCTCCTCCTCAGCACTAGTAACATTGGACCCATGTGATATCATGTCATCCATGGTTGGTGAATGTGGACGAAAATGTGGTCTGTGAAAATAGAAATTATAAATTAAATTTAAATTTTACACAGCTCCATCAGGGGATAATTCAGATAGCAGTAAAATACACAGCAATAGCATAGCAGCATTTGTTTTCTACCTAAATTTTACAACACCCTTTTCCTACATGAATCAGGAAAATCATTTTTTCTTTATTTTTTGGAGAATGAAATATTTTTCTTACTAGGGGAAGCAGCCTGTATTTGGCTGTAAAGGCAGGCAGAAAAAATCACTGCATACAAATTATAAAGCACTAAACAACCAAAGGTCGGAGTAGCCCTGCATCACTCACCTCTTACTGAATAGTGTTTTCAAAAACAAATCACATCTGTCATCTTCAATATGGGTCAAATTTATTTTAATTAAAAACCATGACGACAAGCAAACTTACACAAGAGACAAAATATAATTACTCTACACCTTATGGATCTATATTTAAAGGTTTTAACAAATATTAATCATGTACCCATCTTAGTGGGTCAAGGTTGTTTAACCTTATTATCTTATAAAACAATGGCCAAGTATCACTGCTCTTTGACCTCATGTTTCAGTATGTTCTGCAAAAGAGTAAGTAGTCAAACTGAAGTGATTTACAATAGCATAACTTACATTTTTCTTTCCCTGATATATGATACGTAATCCCCTGCTATCCCTGAAGATGTTCCGGAACATGATGATAAGTCTGTTCGACACAGCTCATTGTCCCAAGGTGTGAAAGCTCTGTCTACAAGTAATCTGTGAACAGAACAACACAAATAAGAGGGAAAATGCATCAGATAAGCAATGCTTTCAGTTCTTCAAGCTAGAATCATACAAATTAATCATGCTTTTTGGGGCCTCTTTTTTTACTTCAAAATTGTTTGTTATTGTTCACCGACTAAATAAATAAGTTCCAATTTCTGATGTGTTTTACATATGTTCAGATTTGGCACACATTTATTTTGGTAATTAAGAAATTGCAATATTAACCAATCTTTACAAATAAAACCTTGCATGGACAAATATTTTGCACAAAGGGGCATAACTCCATCAAAAAAGGGTCGAAATCCAAAATTTAAATGCCGGCGCACAACTACATAAGATATCGATCATTCACGCAAAGTTTCAATGAAATCCACCTGTTGGTTAAGGAGGAATTCTTCAGACAAGTTACTTAGGACGGCANAATGTCCTCTCCACCATCTTATACTTTTTTGAAGATGATCAGTGATTACATATTACGTCATTGCAAAAAGTTTTAAAAATTTGTTGCAAAGAGACTTACCTGCCGCCCCTTCCTACCCTCCGCCGACAGAAGCCTTGACTTCGCGATGGTTTTGAAAAGGACATGAGGTTATATCTGTATTTTCTCTCCCCCAGGCCTCCATCTTCAGGGCTATGCCAAGACCAGTTCCCAAGGCGATTCAAAATAGGCTGCAAACACAAAATCCACTTATTACATTCATCTATCAATATTAGCCCTACTAGAGTATGAAATTTGTCATACAGAAATGAACATATCATCCTAATAGCAAATTCTCTAAAAATGAAGATCACCATTAAAGGGTATTAAAATTCTAAATGAATTTCCCTGTAAATTGTTGTAGACCTAATGTTTTATATGGGAGAAAGATTTATTTCTGATGGTTATCTACACAAAATACAGTCAGTCAAATTTGTATCATCCAGGTGAAAACTGATGTTTTTTTTAAACCTTTTTTTATCCAAATCTCAGTTAATTTTTCCTTACCTTGGCCCTCACCCTATTATACATTATACTACTTGTAGACCACACATTTGTACATCGTACTACTTCTTTTGTTCATTAGACTAGTTGTACTGACACAAGCATTCGTGAACTATACCACTTATACACACGTATGTTGGTACAGCCTACAACTTCCATATGTTACACATTATGCTTCTTCTATTTTCTATTATTTATACAGCCACACACTTTCATACATTATACTACTTATAGAGGCACACATTTGTACACTACACAATTCATACAGAGATACAGATTTATATTTTTACATATGCCCTTCCTATTTTCCATGAACTCTATGGAAAGTCAGCCTGCAGTTACTTGACAGTAACAGCTTTCTGCATTATCTGGTCACATGACCATGGTTTCTGTTACATCAGTGTAAGCCGAAACGATAGGCATCATCTTGTTGTTGTCGTTGGGTTCATACAAGTCACATTTTGACGGGATTTGCAGACAATAAAGACATCTAGAATAGGAAGGTTAGTTCTAACTTTTGTATTAGAATGTTTTGCACATATAATTAGAGCATTTAACTGCATTTAACAGTTGTCACATGGTTACATTTTTAATGGCGACCGTTGTTTTCGGTCTGATAATGGCAACCGAAAGTTTTTGGTCCGATAATGGCCCTCTGCAGCTTTTCCAAGCACTGGACCAGTGAAGTTTTACGGCAGCAGGAAATATAAATTAAGCTTATCCGACTAATTAAGAATAGACAGGTCGTATGAGGAAATGTAAATATAACAATTGACGTTCAGTTCAATCCTTAAGTACATTATACTTATCATACAAACACACTCAATTGCACATTATGCTATTCATACAAACACACATTTTAAACATTATACTAATTAAGAGACACATACTTGTGCACATTATAATTAGGGCTATTCCATTAAAACATACCCCTACCCCAGGGACATTAAAATAAAGAACTTCTGTGCATGGTTGGTGTGAGCAGAAAAATGCTTCTGTATCATATGCTGTTCCGGGGGAAATAACTTCTGGTCATGGTTCATTAATGTCTTTGAAATTAAATAAAATCTACGACATTGTTGCACCTTTAAAACTTTAGTTCATCTAGTAAAATCCTGTTTGATTAGGACCAGCTAAATAAAACATTTATAACAGCTAAAATTATACTGTACAGAACTGCAACTTCAACGCAGGGGTGTAAAGATGCACTAGCCCGACACCACCAGATTTTCAGCTTGTGCTAGTGAAATTTAGAGGCTTACTAGTGACTTGTTTAGAATGTCATAGCTAACAGGGGTAGAACAATATACACCCATCAAATGCCATATAGTGTTATATACTTTCTTACATTGAAATAAGATCTGCATTATTCAAGAGTGGTTAGCTGGCATGCTATAAAAAATGTAGGAGGAGATCTCCAGACAAAAAAATCAAATACTGAAATGAACAAAGGGCAATAACTTTTGCAAAAATCGTCGAATCAAAATTCTTTTAAGGGAAACACGACTTCATATCATGATTATAATGTATCCCAAGTTTCAAAGAGATCGGTAGAAAAATGTAGGAGGAGATTGCCGGACAAACAAACGTTTACGCTGGAAGGACGGACGGACCATAAACCATAAACCCTATACCATAAAACTTCCGTCAAATTTTGACAGGTGTATAAAAATGCTTGTGTTCTATTTTTTCATCATGAAGGATACCATTTAGCATTTTTAACCTATGAATTCCTGGTAATTTTCACTAAAATATCTATCAGAACACATGCAGTCATTCACGCCGTATTGTCACTAATTGATGATGCAAGATGTTCTGTTGTCTTCACATGTGTGCCATGTGTGGTAACATCACAATACCCAATTCAAGCTAGTACCCAAATTGGGACACTGAAAGCAAAAAGTCACAAGAAAATTGCATACGGTGCAAGGAAGTATTTTTAAATTGAAAATATTGATTTAAAGATGATAGGAACTTTACTTACTGCTACTTATGGTTACAATCACAGTTTTAGTTTGTAAATAATGACGAAAATGTAACGTTTCTTAATTGGTAAGCCATGCGACGTTATTGATTTTCAATTTTATGTGATTTTTCACAATCCTATTATTTCACAACTACCCCGGTAATGGTAGTTTGTAAAAGAAATTCATTCAGAACGACCCTCGACTCTTAAATATTCCAAAGATATGCCATGTTTTGCTAAATACTTGTTTCATCTCCAAGTACAGTATAAGCCAAAACCGGAAGGGATGTCCCAATTTGGGTACAGCTATACCTCTTCGCGCGATTACGTTTCCATGACTATATTTCCGGTTCTGTATATAGAACCACGCGCCGGAAATATCAATTTGTTATCAAAATGAATAGATAATGATATCTATTTAGAAAAAGTGAACAAAAATTACTGGGATCTAAAATACATCATTATTTCACTAAAAAGTGTCCCGATTTGGGTACAACCTCAATAGCATTGAAAGTCTATACTAACCACCAAATTGGCCCTCTTTTGTTGCAAATCATTCTCTTTTATTTGATTTAAGCATGTGGGGTACAGAAATAAAGTTCTTCTCTCCAAAAGTTGACAAGGCAGTCTGTTTTTGACACTTTCTAATACAGAAACTGGTATCCGGACTGATTTTCAGGAAGAATTCAAACATATTTTTTTTAACATTCAGTTATTAAACAAAATTTTGTCTCTTTTTTTTTTAAGGAAAATATTGATCTGTGAATGAGATATAGATTGTGTGATCATGTTGTCAGCTTGATCCATTTTGTATTTCTCGGTCGAGCATTATTTCAGGCTAGTGGATTGATAGTGTCTACTAGCCCGGGTAGCCCTAGGCTAGTATACTGAAAAATATTTTTAAACCCCTGCTGCGAGGACAAATAAAAAATTCCTTTGTTTCCGTTATCATCCTTAGAAAAAATAGGGTAGGTAGATAGGCATTTTTTTTTAATTTTGGAAAATATTTTTCCTTTGCTTACATATATATATAGAGCATGAGTTCTGACATTAACAATGCTTATCACAAAATGCCAATAAAAACATCAGTGTAACCTTTGGCACAAAAATTAAGAGGCAACAAGGGACATATACTTCCCTTGGAAAAAACAGGGGGGGGGGTTATGTTTTTTAAAATCATAAAAAGTAGATGTATGTACCTGTTGTACCTGTTGAGTTCACACGTCCAGGTGTTTATGCAGGTTATTTGAGAATACAAATAAATTTATTATTCCCTGCGTAAAACACTTACAGCAAAATAACTGCAATTCTTTCTTCTCTTGAAGGCAAAGGGACCGTCTGGGTCATTCTCGTCTTCATGATCAGATGGGGACATGCCCTGTAAAGAAAGACAAGAATGATTCAACTAAGTTATTGAATTGTTATAATGTCTTGTTTACCACAATAGTTCTAAGGTGATTATATCTTTCTGATCAAAGTGTTTTTCTGAAAAAATCTGAATTTTTCATTGAAACTATTTCCATGCAAGCTTTTCAAGGATATTCTAAAATGAGGTAAAAATAAATACTACTGAATCATGATAGCAAAACACTTGAGGAATGACAACATTTGTAGAAAAAAATTCACAAGAATGAATTGATTTTTAACCAAAGATAAACAAGTTTCAAAAATTTTGGAAAGAAAAATCAACCATTCGTACAGGAGAGAGTCCTTCATCTTCGGAGCTGTACACATCCGTGTGGAGGACATCAATGTCACTAAAGTGACGGGTGGGTTGGACGGTTGTATTCTCACGGTGCTGTAAGACTGGTTTGTGTTTCCTCTTCCTGTATTCACGCTTTTTTCGCACAACCACCTCCTCCTGCAAAGAGCAAATCTTAACAATTAGTCAACAGATAGTTGGTACAAATCGACCAGCTTGAATTGAAGAGCCTTCAGACTTTGGACTTGGTTAGCCAAATGGTAGTTTAATAAACTTTGTGATAGTTGAATATTTTGCAGACATTCAGATTTAGAATTACAATAATTTTGGTAAAGCAAGTTCAATAAGGTAACCACAAAGCATTGTGTGCCTGCAATGTACTGGTGAATCTGTTAAAAAGGAAATACGTATCACTATGACTAAAGATGCTGCTTTAGTTTTATTGTAAATGATAGTACTTGAACTGACTAAAGATGCTGCTTTAATTATATTGTAAATGATAATACTTGAAATGACTTAAGATGCTGCTTTAATTTTATTGTAAATGATAGTACTTGAACTGACTAAAGATGCTGCTTTAATTATATTGTAAATGATAATACTTGAAATGACTTAAGATGCTGCTTTAATTTTATTGTAAATGATAGTTCTTGAACTGACTAAAGATGCTGCTTTAATTTTATTGTAACTGATAGTACTTGAACTGACTAAAGATGCTGCTTAAATTTTATTGTAAATGATAGTACTTGAACTGACAAACGATGCTGCTTTAATTTTATTGTAAATGATAATACTTGAACTAACCAAAGATGCTGCTTTAATTTTATTGTAAATGATAGTATTTTAACTGACTAAAGATGCTGCTTTAATTTTATTGTAACTGATAGTACTTGAACTGACCAAAGATGCTGCTTTAATTTTATTGTAATTGATAGTACTTGAACTGACTAAAGATGCTGCTTAAATTTTATTGTAAATGATAGTACTTGAACTGACAAAAGATGCTGCTTTAATTTTATTGTAACTGATAGTACTTGAACTGACCAAAGATGCTGCTTTAATTTTATGGTAAATGATAGTACTTGAACTGACTAAAGATGCTGCTTTAATTATATTGTAAATGATAATACTTGAAATGACTTAAGATGCTGCTTTAATTTTATTGTAAATGATAGTTCTTGAACTGACTAAAGATGCTGCTTTAATTTTATAGTAAATGATAGTACTTGAACTGACTAAAGATGCTGCTTAAATTTTATTGTAAATGATAGTACTTGAACTGACAAACGATGCTGCTTTAATTTTATTGTAAATGATAATACTTGCACTGACTAAAGATGCTGCTTAAATTTTATTGCAAATGATAGTACTTGAACTGACTAAAGATGCTGCTTAAATTTTATTGTAGCTGATAGTACTTGAACTGACTAAAGATGCTGCTTTAATTTTATAGTAAATGATAGTACTTGAACTGACTAAAGATGCTGCTTTAATTTTATTGTAACTGATAGTACTTGAACTGACTAAAGATGCTGCTTATATTTTATTGTAACTGATAGTACTTGAACTGACTAAAGATGCTGCTTAAATTTTATTGTAACTGATAGTACTTGAACTGACTAAAGATGCTGCTTAAATTTTATTGTAAATGATAGTACTTGAACTGACCAAAGATGCTGCTTTAATTTTATGGTAAATGATAGTACTTGAACTGACTAAAGATGCTGCTTATATTTTATTGTAACTGATAGTACTTGAACTGACTAAAGATGCTGCTTATATTTTATTGTAACTGATAGTACTTGAACTGACTAAAGATGCTGCTTATATTTTATTGTAACTGATAGTACTTGAACTGACTAAAGATGCTGCTTTAATTATATTGTAAATGATAATACTTGAAATGACTTAAGATGCTGCTTTAATTTTATTGTAAATGATAGTTCTTGAACTGACTAAAGATGCTGCTTTAATTTTATAGTAAATGATAGTACTTGAACTGACTAAAGATGCTGCTTTAATTTTATAGTAAATGATAGTACTTGAACTGACTAAAGATGCTGCTTTAATTTTATAGTAAATGATAGTACTTGAACTGACTAAAGATGCTGCTTTAATTTTATAGTAAATGATAGTACTTGAACTGACTAAAGATGCTGCTTTAATTTTATTGTAAATGATAGTACTTGAACTGACAAAAGATGCTGCTTTAATTTTATTGTAACTGATAGTACTTGAACTGACTAAAGATGCTGCTTTAATTTTATTGTAAATAATAATACTTGAACTGACCAAAGATGCTGCTTTAATTTTATTATAAATGATAGTTCTTGAACTGACCAAAGATGCTGCTTTAATTTTATTGTAAATGATAGTACTTGAACTGACTAAAGATGCTGCTTTAATTTTATTGTAAATGATAATTCTTGAACTGCGATGTTTCAACAATGGGTTTTTATGACAACCTATCAAAAATTATTACTTACGAAATCTGAATTATTTCGTGAGATGCATGTACTGGGAGAACATATTTTACTTCACTGGATAGGAATAAGGCAAGGTTAATTTTTTGTGTTAACTGGTTTACAAAATTTGTTAATAGATATTGTCTACTTTTACCCATTATTTTTCAAATCATGGTAGAAGTTTTCATAGTGCTGGAAGAATAAGAAAAGGGCCATAACTAATGTAAATTGAATTAAACACAGTGTTCCCATTTGAGGATATGCGAATCAACCATTTTTTTTACCTAAATTTTACAACAGCCTGTTCTTTTATGAATTGGGAAAATATATTCCTCTTTTTTATTGAAATTAGCAATATATTCCTCTTTTTTTGGTTATTTTGGGAAAATAAAGCACTTTTTAGCGAGGGGAAACAGCCTGTGTTCGGCTATAATACTGAGCAAAAAAATCACTGTCAACATATATTTCTTATCACACATACATACCAAATCTCAAAAGTATCTCTTTAATTTTAATTCCTTTAGCATTTATGTTACCACACAGGTTAGTCTGCAAAATATTTTTTCTGTAATTTTATGTCTATAATATAACTTGAGACAATTTTAATCAGCTACAGACATATTGTTATCAGGTCTATGTTATATTTGAAACTGCAGTAAGAAATTATCCTGGAAAAACAGGATTATGCCATATTATGTCAACAAACCACCCCTCTAAACCCTTGACCACAAAATGGTGTCAATGAAAATGTGTTCTAGTGATTTCCGTGACTTCCACTATAACAACTCCTGGTTACCTAATCTGGAAATTCTTGTGAAAACACAAAAACCAGCTTACCGTCTGACCCCAGCCTGATGAGCCATAGGCATACTGAGGGATGAAGGTAGAAGGCATCTTGTGTCGTAGAGCCTCGGCCTCCTGTAACATGGTGCCACTGAAGTCCTCTATCTGATACCTGGAGATAGAACATTAAATATTAAAATTAAACTAAAGGAAAATTAATTGTTTAACTAAAAATAGGTCTTGGAAAGACAAACTATTCAAATAATAACTGTCTTACTCTACAGTATCCAGATGATGGGGCCACTCAAAAAATTATTAAAACACTTAAACATTATAATCTGAACATGTCAGCATGACATCCCACTTGGTCAATGCATTGCAATTTTTATGAAAATATATTAACAGCCATTAACTTACCGCTTTTCTAATACTTCTATGGTAAGTTGTAACATTTCTTTTTTCGTCTTCTCTCGTCGTTTTATTAATTCTAATATTGTTCTACAAATGAAGAGAAATAAAATATTAAAGTATACAGTTAGTAAAACTTAAGGTGCAACAATAACTATCCTAAAATGAGGTTATATAGCAAGACAACTCTGGGAATTATAGTCCCCCACCGAATGTGAAATGCACAGATGATGAATTTGTGCAGGAACTAATTCTATATATGAACGTTTGACAGCCCTAGTATTTAATTAGGAATAGTTTCAGTGCTACTATTGCAAATAAATCTGTTGGATGTCAACGGGTTAGTGGTACTGTTTTACTATCAAATTGCATCTGGTGACACTATGTATGCTTCTTCTTCAGTGCAAGTGAACCCATGCCCCAAGCAAGAAGTTCCAGTAACTAGTAGTGTAGGAGATAGAGCCCGGACAAACTTTTTCTTTGATGCAGGTCAAAGTCAAAAACAGTGACCTACTTTGATATATGACACCGCTCCACCAAGATGAACCCATACCCCAAGTATGAAGTTCCAGTGACAAGTAGTGTAGGAGATTGAACCTGGACAAACATTTTCTTTGATGTAGGTCAAAGGTCAAAATGTAGGTCAGAGTGACCTACTTTTGATACACGACACACCGCCTCACCAAGGTAAACCCATACCCCAAGTATGAAGTTCCAGTGGCAAGTAGTGTAGGAGATAGAGCCTAGACAAGATAGCGGAAGGAGGGAAGGAAGGAAGGACAAACTATAGTCACTTATAACTAACTTTTTGTTCATTAACTATTACACACTTATCAAAACCTTTCTCAGTAATTGCCAATCAATAAAACAAAATAATAGTTACGTATCTCAGTACATTGTAGTTGTGATTTTATTTCGTGATGATATATGCTGGCATTTACTCTGATAATGTGAAGGCATTTTCTTGCAGAATATTGTTTTGCTATAATAGACAATTTGGTGTATTCCAAATTCAGTAGCATAAGTGTCGCAACTTTAAGTGGGGTTCCAATTATTCACATACCAAGTTTTAACATTTAAACTCTTTTCCTCTTGTTGTTATTGTAATAATAGTATAACAAGATCACACAGTTTTCCTCTGTAGATAATTTTCCAGCAAAATTCTCATTGGGTACTTACACTGCTCTATTCAGATCTCGACGCAACTTCAACATTTTTTCATATGAGTATTCATCATTCTTCCTATTCTGCATAAAGAAAAAACATTGAACTTTTACTTCGTTTTACCTTGAAGTATTGTTTGTCTAACTAGTGAACTGTGCACTTGATGAATAAAAAAGCAGGGTCTGCACAATATATGCTCCATCCCATGCCAAACTGATAAACTAACAATACCTCTTGTGCATTCTTATATGAAAATGTATGAAAATACTGCAATTTAACAAGAGAGCACTGCAATAATCTTTGTAGTCAATTTATTTCTGGTTTGTAGTGAAAGAATAAATTTGATTTAACCCACTTCAGCTGTCAGAAGGAATTTTATGATATATGTCATCTTTATGAATTCTGACATCTTAAACCATTAAAATCAAAAACTTTTTATATAATGCTAATGACTTGGAAAATGAAGGCATCTTACAACTAACTGAAACAGGATTTTTAATCAGAAGATTGAACAGACTTTAGATGATACATGATGTAGCTTAATACATCAGATTAAATCAAAAGCACTTTCATAATGTTTTTTTCTCAAAAACAATTTGTATTACTGGCACTGGGGCAAGAGTATTCTGAAGGAATAACAACTCATTTCTTATACATTTTTTTAACCATATGAAAAATACCCAATTACAATCTTTCAATAACAATATTTTTGATATACTACACATTAAATTACCTTTCGTGTTTGCATTTTTTCTGTACGTCGCCGGAAAGCAACATATGGATTATTTGTTGTTGAGCCATCTCTCTTTTCTGTTTTCACTTGTAAAATTAAAGGATGTTCCTGAAAAATCAAATTGAAATTTCATGAAGATGATCATACACATTTAATTATCACATAACTGTTTTATTCCCCCAGCCAACATTCTGATGTTGTAAAACTACATCATCATATTTTGTTTAGTGATTGTTAACCCTCCCTTTTCCCATGCAGTAAAGCTGCCTGTCTATTTTTATAAAAACATCTTAATACAATGGATGATAAATTTATAAATGGCAGTAATTCCATTCATACCAGGCGTAGTCTCTTGTTCAGCCAGTAGTCGTAGGCAGCAATAATCAGATCATCATCTTCCTTTAACAGTAATTTAGCTTCTTGTAATGTCACAACCTGGAATTATACGAAAGAACATTAAAAAAATTCTTATAACATCAAATCAAATAATACCAAATTTGACCTAATGGGAGGCAAGTGCCTGCTCTGAACTGGGCAACCCAATGGATTTTGAAAACAAATCAGTTAACTTGTTTATCACAACAATTCTTCCCCTTGCCGTGGGTTTTATTTCCATTATTGGTCCTGTTGGTTTTGATAGACAATATCCGCCACCAAAATGGCCTTTATCATAGAAAATGCATACAAAAATGGCTGCCATGGAACATAATCTGCTGATATATGACATTTTATTAATGGGGAATTGAATTTGACTTTGGTGTGGAATAAAGAAATCTTCATATCTCTGCTGCAGTGGGAAAATAAGAGAAATATGATGTATGTTGAATTCAAATAAAGCGCCTCAATCTTCATTTGCCTGCACCCAGTAACCTTATTTGGTCAAACACAGTATGTAAGCTATGCAAAAAAAATATTCCCCTTACCCTAACAACAGCTGAGCCCAAAGCCAATAAAACCTTAAGCTCACAAATGAAACATACTTGTTTTATAACAGAAAGGACCAGTTGTCATTATATACTGCATTTAAAGAAGATGTGATTAATGATATGTTTATTATAATGTATCAAAGCACCGATCACAAAAAGAATTTATTTTAGAAACATGCCTGTTGTCCGCTCCCTTTTTCTAGGCGGTCCATCATTTCCTCAAACTTGAGTGGTGTTATCTCCATCTTTTTGGCTTGTTCATTCACCCAGTGTTCATCTTCACTGTCCATATCATAGTCAGGAATTTCTTGTTCCATGCCAAATGCTAAATAAATATAAAAGCAAAGACCATGTTATCAAGTATTTTGCATTTTGATAATCAACAATTTAAGCCCAATTCAATTTTTGTTTGCTTTACACAAAACTTAAAATTGAAGCATACTTATATTTCCTTAACCAGTCAATAACTCAATATCGATTTAAAGTTGGTCTAATCTCAGACCAATACAGATTTTCAATTTACAGTACATGTTGTACCAAGGATTTTCAATAAATACTACAATTGTAAAATTAATTTCTTTTTTCCCCTACTGACAGTTCCCCACTGCTAAGTTTGTGTGCTACTTCCAGAGTCATCAATTTTACAAATTTCCTTTATAAAAACTGTGACTCATTTAATTAATAAACAAGAGTACCGCGGGGTGGAACAATATAAGCCCGTCAAATGCCATATAGTGTTATATACTTTCTAACATTGAAACAAGATCTCTCTGCATCATTCTAAGAGTGGTTAGCTGACATGCTATAAAAGATGTAGGAGAAAATCTCCGGACAAAAAATACAATACTGAAATGAACAAAGGGCAATAACTTTTGCAAAAATTGTTGAATCAAAATTCTTTTGAGGGAGACACAACTTCATATCATGATTATACTGTATACCAAGTTTCAAAGAGCTCGGTCAAAAAATGTAGGAGGAGATTGCCGGACAAACTAAAGTTTACGCCGGCCGGACAACCCCATACCTTAATACTTCCGTCAAATTTGACGGACGTATAGAAATAAGTAGAGTTCAATAGGAAGAACTCTCCAATATTCTAACGATGGCATTACAATACTGAAACCATATTTGCTTCACAAACTGTGTCAGAAATCTGGATCAATAGGTTTGCATGTTGTTAATGTCACCAGCAGATTCAATGTCGCTGACAAGTGCATTGCTATTAAGTGAAGTTCTCTATATTGATTTTGAGTTAAATTTACTACACTGGAACTACTACAAGAGTACATGACAGCTTCCTATGTCCTTATCTATTACAAAACACTATCAGTTATTGCTGCTGCACGTACACACTGAATTATATTTACATGCATCACAATTGAATGTAAAACTAGAAATATGTCAAAATGACATGAAAGTCACCCCCATCTCTTGTATGATCATTTTTACATAAATCATTGACCAAGCTAAAACAGATATATTTCCACCTGTCAATCAAAATGGTCTACAGGCTGTTTAGGTAGCCATGCCAACACATGGAATTAACAAGAGGCCCAGAGGGCCTGTATCGCTCACCTGGATACCAAAGCAATCATGGCAAAATATTCTCCGAATGAAATCAAGGGAATATGCCAGACCCCAAGGCCAATCCTTGTAGCATATCTGTACATGTATTAGATTCTTCATGCCCAGCAATTTTATGTATGGTTATGGGGTGGGGATCTCAACTGTTTCCAAGCTTTGACTCAGAAACTAGGTCCCTAGGGTTGTGGCCAGACCCCAGGATCAATTCTAATATCGTGACTGCATTT